TCTTTTTCTCCCCAAAGCCCCCCGGTACAGTTGACTATTTCTGGCTGTGGGTCCTTCTAGTTGTGGCATGTGGGATGCTGCCTCAGCGTGGCTTGATGAACAGTGCCATGTCTGAACTCAGGATCGGAACCAGCAAAACCCTGGGGTGCCGAAGCGGAGAGCTTGAACTTAACCACTCGGCCACAGGCCGGCCTTGAAAACCACTGTTTTAAAAGACTATTTAATAACATAAAAGATACACTGTTAGGTGATCAAAACAAGCAAAAAAGGGCATGTAGTTTGATTCCATATTCTTACATTTTTAAAAACCCATCTAAAATTTACTGAATGCTTAATAATCTGTGCCAGGCACTGGGCTAGGTTCTTTACAGGCATTATTTCATTCAGCCCCCAGTTAACGATTCTGAGGTAGGTTCTATTATTAGCTCCATTCTGCAGATAAAGGAAACTGGGTCTGAGAACTCAAGATGCTTTCCCAAAGTATTAAGGAAGTAGCAGAAGTGGGTTTGAATCTGGGTCAGTCTGACCTTGAGTTTCACTATGCTGTTTTGCAAATACATATGACTGGATGGATATACACCCAATTTAATAGGGGTTATCTACGGGTGATAGGATTACAGATGATTTGAATGTTCTTTTTGTTTTCTGGATTATCTACAACAAATATGTATTTTGTAACGAGAAAAGCAGTTGTTAAAAACGTATTTCCAAGAGTTTATTCCCTATCAAACCATATGTTTATAAGGTAACACAAGAAGGTGTTAGGGGTGTCAGTGTGGATGAGAATTAAAACAACTGTTATTTTCAACTTCTGTAACATGTGTGTATCACTTACACTTTTTTTTTTAGCTTTAAAAATTTAATTTATAAATGAAATTTTATAATATCTATGAAACTATTAAATACTTTAATATTAATTTTCTAATATTCACTATAATAAACACATAACTATTAAAATAAGAAACCTGTCTGTACTATGAAAAAGGATACATACAAACCACATTTTAGAAAACATGAATTAAAATCTGAGAAAGAGGGGAGGGGAGGATTTGTGGAGGGGGGTAAGCAAATAATCAGAGGATAATTTTAAGTATGTCCAGATATGCAGGAAAAGCAGTGAGGATAGCTGATAGAGCAAGTCGCCAATTAACTGGGCTTACACACACAAATAACAAGTGTTAGCTTTGGAAAAGAATAGAAAAACTTTTCTAAGATGGGAAGATAAGGAAGAAAAGATAAGTGAAGACAGAGAAACTGTAAGGTGGAGAATAAATTAGATTGACAGAACTATTAGAGTCAGCTACTTTAGATCAATTGGGAAAAACAGCCTCTCATGTATACCATGTAAAACCATTCACATTAAAATGCATTTATGGGGAACTTTAAAAATAAATCAGAGATAAGTTGTCGAACATTGGGCATGACTAGTCAATTGTCCTACAGCTAACTTGCTTGCCAAATTTCCCTGGTCATCTGTAGTACCTCTGTTACCTGTACAGGGACCAGCTTTAGGAAGCTTAACAGAATCAGTGGGGCTATCCTACAATGGCTTCTGTGATTTCTAGATTTTTCTTAAAGCTGGCTCCTTGGGTGGCAAAAAATCTTCCCAGTAGAACTCTCTAAGAGCGACAGACTAGCCTGTTAATGGAAAACATTGGTGTAGTTACATTTAAACAAATTGGCTTGATGAAGCTCCAGCTTTATTTAAAAAGATTATTTACTTTATGAAAGAATCTGCCAGAAGACTTCTTTAAATAGCAAGATCCTTCTGTAAAGGCATTAATTCTTTTACAGCTAAGTATTTATTTGCCTGAAGCTAAGTGTACATGCCTTGTTCTGAGCCTTTGCACATTCTTCTCCCTTCCCATCAACTAGCTTTTACTCATTTTTTGGTCTACTCTAAGTTTTAAAGTTACTAAGCAAGATCTCCTATATTTCTCTTCACAGCACTTATCATAACTATAATTAATTTTTAAAGTAATTCTTTTAATGTCTGTCTTGCCCAACAGACTGCAAGCTCCATAAAGGGCAGAGGTCGCATGCATTTGTTCACTGCAATACAGCACCCAGCAGCATATTTTGGCCTACAGGAAGAGCCCAATAAATATCTGTAACATCCAGTTAAGATCTCTGTTGTTAAAAGAGATCTTATATGTCATAATCTTATATGTCATAATCTTGGTAAGACACAACATGAAAGCTTTGCACATACATCCTCGGCTGCACTCCAGGAAGCACTCCAGCTCTCCACTCATAGATCAGAATGGCATTCCTCACAGATTCCAATAAACTGGCTCATAAGGAAACAGGGACAAGAATTTGAAACTCTTCAGAAAAAAATCTTTAAATTACTGCATCTCTGCGTTTCCATTACCTACATCTCCTTTTCCAATATGCAGAGATCAATGGGGCAGAAATACGACAAGTGAAATATAAACTCCTTATCATCCTCTAAAAGGAGAGTATTAGACAGAGAGTTGCTGTATCTGCCAGCATACAAAATGGAGATTTGGAATGCTGCTTGCCATGAGGCAATCCAAAAAAATTCTAACAATTCAGCATTACAGGGAATAAGACCTTGGAAGTATGTAAAGAGTGACCAAAATGTACTGTTTTAGGGATAGTTAGACACACAAATAAGATATTAAAAGGAATAACTGATGTAGCAATTTCAAGACCCAGCAGGTTCTCATTTTACAGCAGTGCAGGGAGAGGCAGAAGGAGGAACATGCGACAGAGAAACCAAGACAGAGGGAAATGTGCGCTCCTGTTCACTGATAAACACCGCATGCTGACAAGAGTACGATACCCAAATCGAGAGAAGAGCAACCAGCTGGTAACCAAAGTGGGGAAATGAGGGATTATTAGATGGCTGCCTCGCACTGCCACACTGAAGGCAGGAAAGAAAAAAAAGGAGAAAGGGCACAAAGATACCTCCAGCAGCAATATCCCTGAGATAGAAACAGTGGTCAAAATCCTAGGAAAGCTCAAGGTACAGTAGACAACGTTCTGATGGTCGGGGGAAGAACTAGCAGCACAGAAAAGCAGGGCACGCAGACAGCAGGGAGAAGAAGATCCAAGCCTTGAGGGCAGTACACACAGGAAGCAGTCACAAACGACTGGAGCTGATCATTTGGTTCATTACTTTTAACTGATTCCTCTCTCTCTGCACCAATCTTCTTAGCCTTTTTAAAGAGCCCCCCCCTCCAGCTGTGTGCATTGTTTTTTTTTTTTACATCTGCACTACTATATGTATTTAACAGCACCTAGGAGAGACTCAAACCTATGAGTCTGCTGCATTGCTAATGTGTTGGCTGAGGGAGGACAGCCGAAAAGGCCCCCAAATTCCCTCCGAAATGACGGATTCAGGTCTGCTAAAAGGTAGAAAGTTCTCTCCAGAGCCCAGGCCATCTGTAAGCCAGAGACCTGATACCAGAGGTTATCCTCCCTTCCGTTGTTACCTCTCTACCTCATTTGTTCCAGTTTTGACTTTTAAAATCCATCTCAGTGTTGGCAACTTTGGCTTATTTACCAAAGCCCAGTTCAGTGGTTTTCACACTGTTCCAAGAGGGGAGGCTGAGCCAGTGGGGCTTGGCCCTCCCAAACTCAATCCCACCAAAGCATGCTGCCTTATATACTGGGATTCCCAGTAAGAATTCATGAGGAGAAACTCTTCCACTCCCTTATGGAGTCAATACTCACTGCAAGGTATATTTCAAATCACTTAGTTTTTGTATGTTTTTCAAGTTGGGTCTTCTAATGGGCAAAAAGTTTTTCTCTCTCTTCCCCTTGCCCCCATTTTACAGACCCTAAAACGGGCGTTTAAGAGCCAATGGGATAGACCTTAGTCAATACAGCCTCCGAAAACATTAGGGAACTTATAAAATAACTATATATTTTCATGTATTGGTGATTTATTTTTAAGAAGATCAAATTGACATGAACCAAGACTAGAGAGGAGGGGTGTGGACTGGCCCACGTGTTAGCAAGGTTTTAAGAGGAGTAGGATTGACAGGTGAAGCAAAAGATGTGCAGACACTAATGTGACAGCCTTCCTTTTACAGAAACTGAAAGACAGCACACTTCCTAACGGGAAGGGCTCCTCTGCCAGAGAGAGGCCTCCTCGTCCTTCATTCTCATGAGAAAGGCTGACCCTGGCTTTGGGGAAAGCTTCGAGTCCCTGCTCTCAGTGGAGGGGTACGCTTCCTACAGGAAAGCAGATTAGGGGTCGCCTCTTCCCGGCTTCAGAAGAATAAAGAGCTACCAAGACGCCCGGCTCGGGAGTTGTGGCGACGGCAACAGGAACACAGGAAAAAGGGGCAGAATCCGCGCCGTCCTGCGGCCCCCGGGCCTGTCAGCTCCTCACCCACCTACCCACCCCAATCCTTCGGTCTAAACTTACCGGGTGGGAGCAACGGCCCTGGGCAGGGAGTAAGGAACTGGGCTGGGTTGGGTTGAGTTCCGCTGCGCTTCCTAGAGACGCTGCCGGGAAGAGGCTGAAACCCAGCAGCCGCCGCCGTCGCCACCGCCTCTGTTACTGGGGGGTCTCGCCTCCATCGCTGGCGGCGAGAACTCTGAGGGCACGTGACCGGAAGTACCAAGGCGGGCCGGCGGGGCACGTGACTCCAGAGCGCGGCCGCCATGACACCTTCCGCTAGTTCCCTCCCTCCCCCGCCGCTTCCCGCCTGTTTCATTTCCTCTCGCCGGCTTCAAGTGGTGAAGGGGCCCGGGATCCTGGCTGGCTCACCCCTTTGGCCTATAGCTCCTCCGGTCCCGGCCGGCGCTGCGTCTTCGGCCGGCAGCGGCCCGCTGACAGCAGGCCGCAGAGAGCGTAATTGCGACGGCGGCCTGAGGGGGAGGGACCACGAGCGAGCAGGGGCGTAAGCCGTCACGTGATGAGGAAGTACCGTTAATAGCGTTGTCCCTGCGTCCCCGGCGCTCCTGGATGACGTAAGCCAGGAGGGGAGGAGCGGGACTGCGGCTTTTAGTGCGCGGTGAGTGTCCCGAGCCCAGCTGGGGAGGGTGTCAGCCGCTGAAAATTGGGGGCTACCGGCTTGGAGATGCTGGAGCGGGGCTGAGATCTACGGGCTGCTGCTCTGTGAGCCTGACTTTGAAAACTTGGTTACCGAGGCTTCTGCCTTCAAGAGATCTGAATACAGTATTAAAGTGACCGCTGTTAAAAAGTTAGTAGTTCCGCTAGGCAAGGAGCTTCTTGTGGGCAGGGACTGTCTCTAGCGGTGCGTACAAGGCATGTTGAATGCATGAATGCATGAATGAGTGAGTCGCCATTTCTCTCTCTGAGATGGAGAGTCGTTCTCTGATTATTACTTCTTGGTAGAAGGATCCCGTTAGGGAAATCTCCTACTTCCCCTTCGCGTAATATCTTTAATTTTTGCTTCCTTTCTTCTCTCTGGCCTCCTCTTCCTTCCACGCATCTAGTGGGGGAAAAGAGAACGCTGTGATTTGCATTTTATGTGCAAGCATCAAACACTGTTAGTAAAGTGAATACTAAGGCGATGAGAAAAACCTTTTCTTGATCCTACTAGTTTATGTTACCATCGAGTAATGAGGGGCAAGGAAAGATACTTCAATTTGGACTTAGGAGAAGTGGATTCCAGTCTCAGCTCTAGGAGACCTGTGGCCTTGGGCAAGCCAGCACCTCAAGAAGTGGTTTCATTGACTTTGGTACACATTTATGGCCACTTTCTCTTTGCTTAGTATTTTTTGCTAGGCAGGAGATGTGATAGAATTGACACAAGTAATATTTATAGTCAGCTTTGCAGGCAGATGGAGTTTTGTTAGATGGAGGAAGTTTCAAGAAACAGCATATATTAAACCATAGAGGCACAGAACGTTTAAAGAATGGAAGAGCAACGAGTGGTAGCTCCGTATAGTTGGAGAATAGGAGAGTAAGGTGGGACATGAGGCTGGGAAAAGAAATAGGGAAGAGATCATAAATTATGTAGGAAGAGTAGCTATTGAAGATTTGTACAGAGCTTTTTTTTTAAGTACATAAAAAATTTGTTATGGAAAATTTCAAACATAGACTGAAGTAGACAGGATGATATACTGAACCATAATGTACACATAACCTAATTTTAACAATTATCAATATTCTACTGTTCTTGTTTGTACAGAGCTTTTAAATTTCTAGGTGCTTTTTATGTCCATTGTCACATTAGATTAATAGCAGCTTTCCATTTGAGCTCAATTCTACTATCTCTAGGTACTACCAGGAAGGTTATATTCATTTTATGTGAAAATTTCTTTGGGTTTTAGATGACTGCTTTCTCTGTTGAATCAAAAGTGTGACATGGCTACTTTAAAAACACGTGTTGCTATTTTAGGTTATAATACTGAAACTTAGTGTCCAGATCAAGGAAGTTAGTGTTCCTACTCTATTCTGTATTGTCCAACTACTTAAGGAGTATTATGTTCCCTCCTAGGCACCACATTTTCAGGCCAACTAAAGCACCTGTGGAGAAGGTTGACCAGAACAGAGGGATTTGGAAATTGTCATGTCAAAAATGATTGAAGAACTGGGAATGTTAAATTTTTAGAACTAATAACACTTTTCAAATTCTAAACGGTTGTTTTGGAAGGAGTAAACTTATTCCTTTAAACTGTAGAAGCCACAATTAGGGATAATTAGTAAGAGCTCTAAGTGATCAGGTTTCAGCCCAGTATTTAAAAAGCACCTTATAACAGGGAGCTGCTGTGGAGGAGAGGAATGGGCAGCTTCATGAGAGGGAGCGCTTCCTTTCCATTGCTGAAAATGTTCCGGGATCTAGGACAAAACAAGTTTCTGAATAAGTTGGATATGCACACTGAATTAATTACCTGTCAGTCTTTTTCCACCATGAGAATTCGGGAGAGTGAAACTTAGCTGGGCCTAGAAGCCTGGGTGGATTTGGATAAGTAGATCTGGAGGGAAAGGAGTCATTTCAGGGAGACAAGAAGCTCAAAAGTCTAAATTTGTAGTTGGCTTAACACTGTCACCCAGCAACTTGTCTTGAGAACCGACATTATTTAAACTGTTTCTTTTCCATTCTCATCTCCATTAAATCTTTTTTAGAAAAATTGGAACTTAGTAGGTTTTTTATGCTGTTAAATCATAACTTCCAGGACATCCTCTCTTCACTGAGATCAAGGCCAAAAGGCCTGTCCACCTCAGAGTTGGCTTTAAGATCTCAAGTGGAAGAGATGGATACTGTGGCCTTGATGTCATTCCTTTCTATCTTCTTTAGCATCTTGTACCGTGGTTTTATCTTCTTTTTCTTGGATCTTCAGTCTCTTTCATTCTAAAGACTTTTCTTTTAGCCACTACCTACAGATCTGTTTGAGTATCCCCTGGTCACAAAGTCAAGAGAGGTTTTCTCCTTTCTCACCAGGTTTCTTGAGTAATTGAAAGGCCTTGCCTTTACCTTGCTTCCTCACCACCCACCCCTTTCTCAAGTCTTTGTTTTCTAGTGTCTGCTCACAGCGCTTCACAGAAATTATGTGATCTCCCAACACCAACTCCTTCCCTGCCCTTCTGTTGCCTACCAGATTAAAATTTGTTCAGGTTCCTGATTTGAGATTCAGAGTGTTTTGTAGCTTGCGCCCGAATTACTATCCCAGCTTTATCTTTTCATTATTCCATTGCTTGTATCTTGTGTTTCAAACAGGCTAAACTTGTGTTCCCCAAATATATCCTCTATATCTTTGCTTATTGCTGCCCTACCTGCACCCTTTCCCTCTTTCTTCTGATAGAAGCCTACGCAGCTCCACTGCTGCTTCCCAGAGGACGTTTTCTCGGGTTCCCTTTAACCCAGTGTGATCCTTTCTCGGGTTCCCTTTAACCCAGTGTGATCCCTCTGTCCTCTGAGTTCCAACATAGCACTTTGCTTATGTTCCCCTTATGGGGGGGGCGGGTGTGTGTGTGTGTGATTTGTCTTTTTCTCTGTTTTTGATTATAAAGTTACTGATTTCTGGAATTATTTTCCACTGCTGTGCCTCGTATTTTACTAGGTACCCAATAAAATGAATGAGTGGAAAGAATGAGATTTTTCTTAGATTAGGAATTCTCACATATTTTAAGTACAGAACTACTGAAGATTTTTTTTTTTTTTCAGAACACCGTTGTCCTTGCAGAGGTCAAGCTGTATCAAGAACAGTTTTACTAGTGGACGATAAGATGTTATTCTGTGTATGCAGTAGAAAATACCATAAGCCTTATGGGCTTTGCCCCTAGAAAGTTTGCACTGTGAGTGTTAGGACTTTGTTTCTTTCTCTGTTGTATCTCCAGGACTTGGAACAATGCCTGGCACATAGTTGGTGCTAGACACATATTTGTAGAATAAATGAATGAATGAGTACATATATTTCTGGGAAAAAAAAGAAAACAAAACCACGAAGTATAAGTGATTAAAAAACAAGTATAAATGATTGTTGTTTGAATTTTTCTGTAGTGTTTGTATTTTACTCTTAATTTGGCAGATAACAAAGGACTGAGAAAAGTTAAAATTATTGGGTAGAATTTTCTTTTCTTTTTTTCTGGAAATTGGTGCAATTTGACAAAAATGTACCCTGGAGAGTTGTTGACAGATAAGAGCTCTTGTGTTGGTTTACAAAGTCCTCCCTGGGTTTGGCACTGGCTATCTCGTGTGCTTATTCCTGCCAGGTCTCTTAGTGAAACTCAGTCCTCTCTGCTCTCATTCCCCGCACCTTTCTTTTCCCTCACTTAATGGGTGCATTTATTCATTCACCAGATGCTTATTGAGCCCTTGATAGGCTGGAGAAAGAGATCCAGAACCTATTCCTATTAAGCACTGTTCAGTTGTTGACTGATATCCATTGAATTTGCTGATAAGGGTTTATAGTGTGAGGCCTTTAGGGAAGATTGCCCCTTAATGAGAGACTCTTGAAGACAGAGGAAGATTTACAACTCAAAGAAATGCAGCTGGACTTGCTATTTTACCATAGCGGAGCTTGACCAGCCTTCCTCTTAGATACTACCGTGTCCATTCTACCTACTCACATTGTTAGATAAATAGAGTGAGATAGCATATGGAGGGCCTTGAGAATCTGCACTTGATTCCCTGGGAGTTTTAGAGTCAGAGCACGCTGATGGTTGCGTATGATGCTACCTATGTGTGTTTTCTTTCTACCTAGATGCTAAGCGCCTCCAGAGTAGGGATTCTTGTCCCGCTCTTATGTTTCTCTGTGTTGTCCACGTATTGGTTCAATGCATGCTGAATGAGTGGTGAGCTTCTTAAATTATATTTTTGCAGGTTTTATTCAGGAATACTGAGCCTGTCACTCAATGTGGTTTCAACTTTCTGGCTAAATGACTTCTGTGCCAGTGATACCCGAGTCTTACAGCCATGTTCTCGCAGAGTTTGAGTCTCTGGATCCGTTACTTTCAGCGCTGAGACTGGACTCCAGTCGTCTAAAGGTGAATTTCTTGATCCTTGTGTCAGTTTCATTTTCATATTCATATTTTTGTGTGCTGTTACATGTGTCCCCTGCCCTCAAGTTCCTTGTGTTTTGTAGAATCTTGGGTCTTTTTACCTGTGCTAGTAATACCTCACATAGAAGTAGCATGTTCATAGCTCCTTTTTAATTTATTTTTTGAGCTCTCATTTGAATTCTTTCCCATCATTGGAAACCATGATGTTGATTACTTATTTTTTTCCCTCTCAGTAATATTGCAGTCTTCTCTCAGAAAGTAATGTATTTGATTCAAAATACAATAGTATAAATGAGTACACCCCACTGCATTTTGAGCAATATGAACCACTGCAGTTATACTATACTCATTCCAAAACAGGAAGTTTGGTGTACCCTCTGTTTTAGGGAACAGAGCAAAAGTTATTAGCTCTGTGGAAAGAAGTATGTGCTTCCCTCAGACCCTGAGTTCTTTTGATAAACTCAGGAATGCCATGGTGAAGAACAGTCTCATAACCAATTCCAAAATAATTTCATTATTACGCTTTTCTCCACCCCAAAGCATCTTTTTAGCCTCGGGCAAAGGGAGAATAGGAAGCAATAGACAAAGTTAATATGAGTAACATTTGTGAGGGTCAATATCAGTTAGTCATTTTTTTAGCTGCAAGTCATAGAATACCTTACCAATAATGGCTGAGTTAATAAAGATGTTTTTAACGTCTTTGGAGGTTAGTGTTTCTGGGTTTAATGTAGAGGCCCAGTGATATCCCAGGACCCAGGCTCCCCTTCTTTCCTGTTCTCCCGTCATCCATGTTGGCTTTTAGTCACAGTTGAAAGATAAATGTCCTGGCTCCAGTCTTGGTGTTTCCATTAGCATCTTCAGCAAGAAAGAGGGGGCCAAGGGCAAAGGCTTTCTTTTCTTCAGACTCTGACTTTTATCTGGGAAGGTGAATCTTTCCAAGAAGCCCTAGCAGGCTTGGTCTTATTAGCTGCGATTGAGTCACATGGCTCCCCCTAGTGGCAAGAAAACCGGGTAAGTGAATATTTAAATTTTCCAGTTTCTGTGGTGGAAAGCAGCAATGTTGAAGAGGGTTGGGAATGTCTGTTTGTCAGTAAACTAACAATTTTTGCCAGAGTATTGGGAACACTGGTTTCTCTGGTGCATAGGGAGTGGAATCAGTAGGCTGCGGGTGTGGGGAGATAGAATAGTACAGTGACCTGCATCTGTGTCCTTTGCAGTCTCACTTGCTCTAAAAGCTGAGTGTTTTGTGCTAATTATACAAATTAGAAATGATTAAAGTGGTTCCTTTATTCCCTGGAGACTTGCTTGGTCTTCCGTTGTTGTGGTCAGCATTGGAATGACCTAGCCAAATTACACAAAATATGAATGGTCTAATAATTGGCTTTTGCCAAGGGAAAATTATTCATTTATACAGTTGAGCCTACTCACCCATTTTGAGTTCAGTTAAAAATTTAAAACCAAAATGTTCTATCTGTATTTTTCACTATACTAGAATGAAAGCATGAGTGCCATTATCTGGACAGGGAATGGGGTAGGAGGTGAACCTGGTACACAGATCCTCAGCATTTAATCCCAGCAGATAGTTTATGTGGTTAAGTTACCTGATGATCTCATGCTTGTCTGTTTACTTGTTTTTAGTGCACGAGCATAGCTGTGTCCCGGAAATGGTTGGCTTTGGGCAGTTCAGGAGGAGGACTCAATCTCATTCAGAAAGACGGCTGGAAGCACAGGCTTTTTCTTTCACACAGGGTAAGATTAGCGGTAGCCCTCCGGTGGTGTAGTGAGTAAGTTTGTGCGCTCTGCTTTGGCAGCCTGGGGTTTGCAGGTTCAGATCCTGGGCGTGGACCTAGTGCCGCTCATCAAGCCAACTGTGGCAGCATCCCACATAAAATAGAGGAAGATTGGCACAGATGTTAGCTCAGGGCCAGTCTTCCTCACAGTAGCCGTGTCATATACCATTCGGACTATCTTTCATAAATGTGAATTTCTCCGTTATAAATGATCCTTTGGAATAAAACAAGAATGGAAAACTTGAGATGTAAAAATTAAAAAATTACCATTTTTGAGAAGCTGCCTAATATTTTTCTTTTTGTGCTCTAGGAAGGTGCAATTTCTCAGGTTGCCTTTTGTTTACATGATGATGATTATGTTGCTGTAGCTACCAGGTGAGAAACTTTTTTAAAACTATCTAATCTTTCCCCAATACATTTTAAATTGACAAATGTAGTTATGTGTATTTAGGGTGACCATCCATCCTGGTTTGCCTAGGACTTGTCCCGGTTTTAACACTGGAAATCCTGAGAAACCTCTCAGTCCCCAGCAAACCAGGATGGATGGTTGGTCACCCTAGTGTTTGTGGAAAATGCTAATATGAGGCAATAACATTTCAATGGCCTTAAAAGAGAAAGGTAACAGAGGTGGTTTAGAACATCTAAATTCTCCTATTACATTGGTTTGGTTGACTGAAGCAAGGAAATTCATACCTTGACTTTCTACTTCCTCTTTTCTGAAGAAGAGTTTGCATATATCTTTAATGTAGTTGATACTGTGATGCAGTTAAGTTGTACGTTTTCCACCATTACCAAAAATTTGCTTCTGTGACTCAATTCTTGCAGTCAAGGCCTTGTAGTTGTTTGGGAATTAAATCAAGAGCGCCGTGGGAAGCCTGAACGAATTTATATGTCTTCAGAACACAAAGGCCGAAAAGTTACAGCTCTCTGTTGGGATACTGCTATTCTTAGAGTTTTTGTAGGTGATCATATGGGGAAAGTTTCTGCCATCAAACTCAACACGTCCAAACAAGCAAAGGTAAGAGGCAGTTCGTCTTTGTGTATGTGGGTGAGATAGAAGGTGTCCTCTTAGAGAATTTCAATTAAAGGACATGATTTTATCTACTGTATTTTTTAGGGGACCGATCGAGAGTCCAGGCTATAATTTTGAGGGGACTTGTTTGTGTATGGTATATATGGTGGCCTGGTTTAGCTTGCTACGGTTGCAGAATGGCTTCTGTGAGCTAACTTCTGTAATTTGCACTTTGTCTCTTACAGTACTCCATAATTCACCTGTGTGGCTCACTTAAATAAAGCAATTTCTAGTACTAGACTATTAAGAAAGAAAGAAAAAATGCCTGTTTGTTAGGTATGTGGATAAAATGGCAAACATGGAAATAGCACCAGTTGCCCGGGCTCCTGTTCTGGTCCCTGTGTAGAAGAAACTCATGAGTCTAGGTGTGTTTCCTCTCGGGGCGGATGAGGCTTCCTGCCACAGTTGTTGGAGCAGGCGAGTTGAGTCTCGGGTTACCCTGACGGAAGGCTTCGTCTGTTACTACGAGCAGACCGGCTTCTCACTGACCCTCTTCACCAAGGCTGTTTATTCTATCAGCAGCGGGGACTTGTCTCTGACTGGCTTGTTTCCGTGTAGGATCCTGGCAGAAAAGAAGAGATCTAACTACCATTGGCTAAATTACTTTTTTTTTTTGGAGGAAGATTAACCCTGAGCTAAGATCTGCTGCCAATCCTCCTCTTTTTGCTGAGGAAGACTGGCCCTGAGCTAACTTCCATGCCCATCTTCCTCTACTTTATATGTGGGACGCCTGCCACAGCATGGCTTGACAAGCGGTGTGTAGGTCCGCACCTGGGATCCGAACCAGCTACCCCTGGGCTGCCGAAGCAGAGCACGTGAGCTTAACCACTGAGCCACCGGACCAGCCTCTAAATTATTTTATTTTAGTTAACATATCAGAATATTCTTTGGGGGGCTGGCCCTGTGGCCAAGTGGTTAAGTTCGCACGCTCTGCTGCAGGTGGCCCAGTGTTTCATCGGTTTGAATCCTGGGTGCGGACATGACACTGCTCATCAAACCACGCTGAGGTGGCATCCCACATGCCACAACTAGAAGGACCCACAACTAAGAATATGCAACTATGTACTGGGGGGCTTTAGGGAGAAAAAGGAAAAAAATAAAATCTTAAAAAAAAAAAAAGAATATTCTTCGGGTTCCGTCATGATGACCCATCAGAGTTATCACTGATTCCTGACCTACTTTTGATTCAAAATACAATTGGAACCCTACACAAATTATAACAGCAATTTGTCCTTTTTCCAATGGGAGAAGTACTGTCTACAGGTGAAAAGTTCTCTCATATTCCAAAACTTGCTTCATCTTTTTCATTCCAGCCTCTTAGGTAATCCCAAACAGAGTCTTAAGAATTCTTTTCTGCAGTTATGTACCAAATTATTTCACAAAACTTTTCAATGAGTAAAATTTTGATATCCTGACAGGCAAATTAAATTTTGGTCCATTAAAAAATTTTATGTTGCTATGCAAGTTATCTTCATTTAACAGGTAAAGAGATTGTGTGTGTATGTAATGATAGATAAGCTTTATTTCCTTGTCACGTCCCTTTAGGCAGCTGCTGCCTTTGTGATGTTTCCTGTTCAGACAATAATGACCGCCGACTCCTGTGTTGTCCAGTTAGATTTTTTGGATGGAAGACTACTTATATCTTCACTTACTCGATCCTTCTTGTGTGACACTGAGAGGTATGTTGACCAACCTCGAGTCATGGGATATACAAAATTTCAGAACTGGAAGGGACTTAGAAGTCATTTAGCCCAAATCCCTCAATTCAATTATGCAGACGTTAATAAGGAACCAGCTGTGTGCTAGCTGATGTTTGGGAGTAGAGAGAACATAGAGGAGACTGAAACAGTCCTGTGGGTGACTAAGACTGTTTCACTAACTCTTCAGCGAAGCATGTGTGTCTCAGTGCCATGGGGGAAGGCCAGACAAAGGCCTGTTTCAATATGGGCACGAGGAAGTCGTCTCTGATTGAGTTTGTTGTTTAAATTTGTTGCGTACTTAGAATTTTACTGAAGGGTATAATTGGATGAAGAATCATTAAGAACTTTGTGAAGCTGACAAGAATTTTATGGAAATCTCAAGGGTGGAGCCAAAAGTCCAATGAATGGCAAAGGAGTGTATTAGAGGCAGCTGTGAAATACCAGAACGGCGTGGGAAACTGCTTGAAATGAGTGTTATGTATCACTGTGCGGGAGGTCCTCAGCTGTTCTCACTGGAGGGAAATTTTCACTGGCCATTTTTTTTCCTACTGGTCCTGGTCCCCTCTTAAAAATTTGTTATGGGGAATTTTGAGCATACTCAAAAGAAGAGAAAATTGTATAGTTAACCCCCGTAACCCGCCCCCTGGCTGCCCAAGCCAGCATCAACAATTTTGGTGAGGATTTTGGTAGGTGAAGTTTGGAGGAAGAGAGGTAGGAGGGGATATTCTAGCAGGAAGGAATGGCTTCTTGGGGGAAAGTGAGAGAGAATTAGGCCTATTCCAGAGCCTGCCAGTCTGGCTTGAGTAGAGGGCTTGTGGGAGATCAAGTTGGTAAATTGGCACCACACTGAGAGTGACAGGCTTAAATGTCACACTAATGAAGTAGGTGGGTTCTCACATCATTTTAAGAAAGTGTACATATCGAAAATCAGAGTTGGAAAATTGATTCCCTTAAAACTATCCAGGCTTGGGAAGTCTCTGTGTGTTTCTAGGGGTTCATGTATCTCACTTAGAAGACTGCTTTTCCAGAAAGCAGGAGAGTTTATTCCAAAAGGTTTGACAGACTGTATGCTGACTGTCAGGAATGGTTGAGGGAAGGATGAGAGGAAGACGTTCTTTGTTTTTATTTCCTTGAGCTGAGAAAGGTGCATGGGAAGGAGCCCAGTTCCAGCAGGTGGCAGGTGTCTGGTGTCAGAGAACCTGGCTGGACAGCAGGGAGGCAAGGCTTTGAGGTGCGAGTGGTTAGTTTACATGGAATTAGTAGGAAGGTTGGTGTGCTTAGTTCTGGCCTATTTCAGACTGTAGATCAGTGATGAGGCTAGCCTTGCAGAACTGGAGCACTTAGGGACCATCTAGTGTCACTCTTTCATTTTTGCAGATGGGAAAGCCCAGGCCTAGTGAGTGATAGAGGCTGCCTGCCGTCATGCAGCTGGGAAGAGGCAGGCAACTGGAGCCCTTCTGTCTCCATTCTGTGCCCTTCCTCTTACCTCAGTTACCTCTAATATGTCCTTTGACGTCGGGCCTTTGGCCATTAGCTCCACCCTTGTGGTTTTGGTAAAATATTTGTTAGCTTCACAAAGTTGTTAAGTATTCTTCCTATGTAGGTTTTCAAGTTTACCAAAAGGCCCAATTCAGAAATTTGGCTGGGGGCCTGCCAGTGGCCCAGCAGTTAAGTTCACACGTTCTGCTTCAGCGGCCCGGGGTTTGCCGGTTCGGATCCTGGGTGCGGACATGGCACTGCTTGCCAAGCCATGCTGTGGTAGGCGTCCCACGTATAAAGGAGAGGAAGATGGGCACGGATGTTAGCTCAGGGCCAGTCTTCCTCAGCAAAAAGAGGAGGATTGGCAGCAGTTAGCCAGGGCTAATCTTCCTCAAAAAAAAGAGGAATTTGGCTGAAATTCTGACAAGTGGTCAGAACACCAAACTGAATTAACACTTTATCAGAGTTATTCTGGGGATCTAGTGAAATGGTATATACAAGAGACTTTTTAAAATAAAGAGCTAAATAAGTGGAGGTTTATTTTTCTCTCTTTACCATAGAGTTGCTAATTATTTTCCCATTTCAGAGGGGTGCGGCTGGAGTTGGTTATGAGAATAACATAGAACCTGGTGCATTGTTTTAGAAATGCCCACTTTCTGTTAGCTAGAATTCAGTTTTGGGCAACATGGATAGTACAATTATTTTAAAAATTCATTTATGTTGAAAATTTTTTGTGTGTTTCAACCTATGTTCCCTCCGGACAAACAGCATTCTTTTTTTTTTTTTAAATGAGGGATCCTTATTACTAACCAAAGCGATAAGTGAGAGTTTGCTCCTCCTGCCAGTCACTGTCTACTTTCTGTTGGTATTGTTCATGAAAAGGTGGGTCCCAGGAGGGACTAGAACAATCAGAGACAAAGAACTGTGGTGTGGGGGAGAGCCTGGGGTAGTGGAGCCTGACACTATGATTTCAAGTTCTGGTCCTGCCACCTTTTAAACCTCCCTGGACGTCAGTTTCCCCATCCGGAATGTAGAGGGGGTTGTAAGGATTAACTGAGATAATGTGTATGAAATACTTAGCCTTGTGCCTGTCACATAGTGTCTGAAAGTGTAGAGAGTAAGATAAATGAGCACACAGATGAGAATGAGTTGGCTGTATTTGTTCACTCAACAGGCACTTTTTGCACTCTTCTGGATCTTTAGCACTGTATTAAGCACCATAGAGGACATAAAATAAGCAAGAAATATATTTTATTTCCCAAATAAGGAACATAAGTAATAAAATCATAACTTCTTGTATTGCTCTGTGTATATTTTAAAACACTTTCACATTCGTATTCGTATAGTCAAACTGATGTTATATTTTATTCACAAAGCAAGTAAATACAGGGATATTTATTGAATTATTTAAGGTCACGTACTAAATTCTCCAAAAAAAAGCCTGAGTATATGGAGCACTATCATGTATTGAGTGCTTTGTGTGGGCCAGATCCTGCGCTATACACTGGGAATTCAACTAAAGAAGAATAGATGGCCTGTGTCCTGAAGAAAGTGATGGTCTGTTGTTCAGATAGACACAATTGCCATACTATATGTAACGTGGTCAGTGCTGTGAAAACATAGCATGGGAAGCATGTAATTCAGCCGTGGGAGTCAAGGAAGTCTCTCAGAGGAAGGATGATGGAGCTAAGTCTTGAAGAATAAGTAAGGGAATTTTTAGGAAGAGACGTTCTCCTCATTATCACCTTCCATGTTCGTAGGCAGTGTGGTAAGCTCTTGTACAGATATTTTATATATCTTGCAATCACAAGGGAACAGAATGTTCCAAGGTGCAGAGTTTTAGAAGGAGTTGGCGTTTGGAGGAAAGAGTGATGAGTTTCTGGGGTGTTTGTGGCAGGGGAGTGGCTTGGAGACAGGATGGAGAGGTAGCTTCCATGGAGTGTCCAAAGAATGTTTACAAGATGATTTGGGAAGCAATCAGTAGGATTTAAGGATGTATGAAATAGTTTAGTAGCACTCATTTTTTAGATTTGAAAGGGGCCTTCACATTGATTCTGAGTCTCTCATTCTGCAAATAATCAACTGAGTACTAATGTGAAGTGGCTTGCTTGTTGTCACAGAAATAATTAATGGCAAATCAGAGCTAGAACCTATTTTGACCTTTCCCTTCTGTTGTTCTTTCCAGTATGTTGCTAATATGAATAGAGGGAGGATGTGTGGGACAGGTTATTATGGCCATGCTGATTTGGAGTGCCATTGTTTTTGACTTTTTTGTAAGGAAACCTGCTTTCTCTTACTTTTTTGGATATTAGAGAAAAATTTTGGAAGATTGGAAACAAGGAAAGAGATGGAGAATATGGAGCTTGTTTTTTCCCTGGAAGATGTAGCGCGGACCAGCAACCCTTGATATATTGTGCTCGCCCTGGCTCCAGGATGTGGGAAGTGAACTTTGATGGAGAAGTTATCAGTACACATCAGTTTAAGAAACTCCTCTCATCGCCACCTCTCCCTGTAATTACTTTAAGGTCAGGATTTGTATGGCTGGTGAGGAGTGTTTAAGGAATTGACATGTAGGGGGTGGGTTGAAATCTCTGATATTCTGTATGCATTAAAGGTTTTATTATGCCTTTTAACAGTGAAGTAGAATTTTTATTAAAAGATTCAAAGAAACCAAAAAGCCTTTAATCACTTATCTTTCATATGATAAAAGCAAATTGAATAAAGGCAGATGCAGTTAGGTTCTTGAGTTTGTTTTGGAAGCAAAAATTTTCCTCCATAGGTAAAAGCGTGCTTTTCTGTTGTGATTAAATCATTAACAGGCGTGTTTGCTTTTAGGACAGAACCTCAGTATGATCATACAGTTGGATCCTGCCAGTCTTTGTCTTTCCCAAAACTCTTGCATCTTAGGTGAGTTTCTCGCTTTGATCCTTTAAAAAAAGAACACTCGACTTTTTCTCTTTGTTTTTCAGAGGCGGTTACCTTTTTAAGGTTGTTTTTGTACTAAATTATTTTTAGAAAACTGGGAAATGACTATGTTACATGAAGTGTTCTAAGAAGAACGCAGAGATCATAGAAATGTATTTCCCTTTCTGTTTTGAACTGACCCAAACCAGTTGGACAGTTTGTAATTGTCAGGGACTTCTGACTGTTAGAGCTAAGCTATAGGGACTTGCTCTTTCCTAACCTCCTCTGTCTGGTGGGATGTTACAGTGAAAGCAAGTCTCAGGCTGAAACTGCCGCAGATATGTTTGTTTCTTAGCCAGCAGGCACGAAAATAGTTGAACTTGTAAGCTTGGGGAAATTTCAGCTCTCTGTCCTTTAGGCACTCTGATGAGTACCTTGCTTGACACCTGCTCAAGGCAGATTCAGCCATGTTCTAACATGAGGCTTCAGCTAGCTTTCTGGTTGGATTAGGTGCAAAAGTCCACTATTAAGTGGCAGCACAAAGTGCCACTCAAGGCTGTCAGCTGCTGGGCTTGCAATTCTTACACCTTGTTCTGCAAGCATGGCGGTGCCAGCGTATGATTTCCAGCCAATCTGTGTGTCTGGAATTGTACTTATTTCATCAATGGAAAATTATTTCTACTCTCCCTTACGCCAAATGCATGAGATCTCTACTGCAGATTCAGAGAATGTTATTTAGAGGTGGTTCTAGGGTACTCTGGAGTGTAGACTCCTGATTGGGTTTTTTCAAAGGCCAGCTAACTGCTCTTAGAATGTGATTTTTTTTGAACACTTGAAATGTTAACTAATTGTCCCTAACTAATGTATGTGTATGTCACATTACCTACACTGAAGTATGTAAAAGTAAATTGTAGACAGTATATCACTTTCATAAATCCATAATTCCTTCTGATAGTTATTGGAGAAAGACAGCTATTTATTTGCCCATAATTATATAAAGCATATTAAAAACTCTTCCTTATGGTACTTATCACAGTTTATGATTACATATTCATACAATATGTATGCCTGTCTTGCTCCTAGATGGTAAGCTCTGTGAGGGCTCTATGTGTGTTTTGTTCACTATTTTATTCTCAGTGCCTGGCGCAGACAGACGCTTAGTAAATATTTGTTGACTGTAGTGTGATGTGTGGGGTGTGGGAAGTCCCTTACCCAGGAGTGGGTTTTCTAATGGTGAGGCTGCAGTCGGTTTGGTTCTCCTGGCAGAGCTGTTTCTCTGAGTTAAGCTATTTAACGCTCTCGTTTTAGTTCCTGCCGTAGCATACAAAGCCTTTCATGATCTGGCTCTGCCTTCTCGGCTTCGGCAATAATTAATGCCGCTTTGGAGCCTTTGCGGACTCCTCCAGCGGGCGTGGCTTAGACACCTCTTCCCGTGCACTATTGGCACACCTTGTTCATTCTTCCCTCACCACCTCTGTTTCACTGTGACATCCATCCCAGTGCCAGCCTGTCAGCTCCTTTACGGTGGGCACAGTGCTAGGCGCATGGAAGCCTCTCAGGTAATAGTGAAATTGAAGAATTCAACAAAGATTTTTTTGAAAAACCGTGAGTAAGAGGGCTTTTTGTTCCTGTTTATTTACTTTTTTCCCACCTGTACACTTGTGTCCTATAGAAACCTTTACTGTTACACCCACAAATCCCACAAGGAAGCAAACTTATATACTTTGTCTCCTTTTGGGCACACTGGGTGTCACTTTCCCTTCCTTGGCTGTTTAAACAATGCTGTTAGGCTTGTGTCCCAGCCTGTTTATTACGTGAAGGCATAGGGGGATGAGGAATGTATAAAGTATGAAGTATCAGCTCGTCTATCCTCCTCTGCCCCCATCTAGTCTAGGTTGCTATTCCTAAGGAATCTTTCCACACTGAGTATCAGGTCCAGTATCAAAATTGTCATCCTCCATCTCTTTACTCAGGGATCCTCTGGCCTCTCATTTTTTCTCCCCTGGTTCCTAAAGACAGCCTTCTGATTTTAACGTATTTTGGGCTAGGATTCTGACCATTTCTTGCATCTTTGTGACAAAGATTACTTTCCTGTGAAGACAGTTATCTGGTCTTATATTGGCAAAATGTTTAATATTTGTATGAGGACCCAATTCCTGTTAAATATCAGTCTTGGTTTCGTAGCCATGTGGTGCCCTTTTTACTACATTTGGGGGCATAAAGAAAAAAAGTAAAGGTCCCTGTTCTCAAGATTATAGTTTGTTGGAGAGATCTGGCTTATTTCTACAAAAGGTTTAACCGCAATAGAAAATGAGAGTCGTGACACTGCAGTCCACGATTAAGTGCCGCATGAGCAGGGTTGGCAAGAGATAGGTTGAGAGCAGGAGGAAGAGCGATGGCTGTGGGCTGGCGGGGAGGATTTCAGAGGGAGTGGAACCGCTGCTGCTCAAGAGATGGCTTGAAGAGACCATTATAAAATGAGCAGTGCCCTGACCAGGGGCAAGAAGCAGAGACTACCGGTGCTGTATAAAAAACAATAGCGGTCTTGAGAGAGTAAATGAGATATATGAGCAAAGGACTACAGAAAGAGATGAGCAGAGATGAGAGTCCCAGAGGACTGGAAAGGAAGGTGTACCAAGAAAGTGCAGTGTCCCAGAGGCCGGGGAGGCGAGATTCAGGAAGGAACAGTCAGCAGCGTTAGTCCCTGCTTGGGGATCAAGAAGAGAAATGAGGAAAGGTTAATGGGTTTGGCAGTTAGGACATCTATGACTTTTTGAGAATGCAGTTAAGTGGAATAATTAGGATTCCAGATAGCAGTGGGTGGGTCAGTGAGGATATATAAAGGAAGAAGTAGGTTCTGTGAGGTGTGGAGAAAAAAATCCAGGTTTTGGAGCCAGGCTGTCCTTGACATAAATTCTGACTCTTCTGTGTTCATGCTGAATGGGCTCGAGCATATTATTTCATCTCTCTGAGCTTCAGTTTTCTTTTTTATAAAACAGGGATAATACCTCAAATGATGAGTAGATACAAGGTTAGATAATATAGATAGAGCCTTTAATAAATCTCCTGGCACATAGTTAACCAGGAGTTTTCAACCATTTGTTGCCCACACACAACCAATGATGTATCCCTGAAAGTGGCTCACGTGAGCAGTGATGGGTGGTGAGGTGTTGTGTTTGGTCTTTGTTTTAAAAGTGCCCCCGTCATACCACATATGGGAAGTTTAGCTGTCTTAACAAACGTCAGGTAAGATACCAGCTTTGTCTTTTTCTAGAAGATATTTAGTGTATGCGTCTGAATTTTTCCCAGTTTGGCACCTTACTATGCTATTTTAGTGGGCTATTGTTATGGATAGAAAAGAGGTGTTAGGACTTGATGAGCTGGATCTCCGTTGTGTTTTCTTTGTACAGGCTGATTATACTTTAATAGCTAATGTGAGTTCTGTCATAAACTTCTGATTCTGAGCAAACTAGAATTCTCTTGACTTCTTCCATTTTCGCTTGCAGTGAGCACTGTGTGCTGACTTGGACAGAAAGAGGAATTTATATTTTCCTTCCTCAGAATGTTCAAGTTCTTCTTTGGAGTGAAGTCAAAGGTAATTATATTTTTCTTCCTTATGTACTTTTTAATCTCATGCTTGTGGAAGATTTAATTGTTGTAGGAGGGTTCTCTTGTAGTGTAAGAAGTGGAAAAATAGACGAGGTGACCTTTCTTTTAAAGATTGACATCATAGATGTTTCCCATTGTAAGGTACTTAATAAGCATACATTTGTGAATTTGTGTTCAATTATGTAATTTTTCATGAGTACTTTTATATACAGTTTTCATTTATTCTTAAATGTTAGTAGCCTCCGCTAACGATTGAATTAGGTTCATTTTTTTCCCTTTACTTACCCTGAGTTTTACCCTTGTTACAAGTCTTACTTTAACTCTTGTTTTGTGTCTTAATAGTTTGGGGTGCAAAAAGTTCTTGTGGGAGCAGTAGCCATTGTATGTGGCTGAAACAGAGAAAGATCAATCTCTGTATTCTTTTAGTTTAAACCAGAAATGGAGGAAATCTACCATTTTTAGCATTGCTGCCCAGAGAGTATATCTTGACTTTTTGGGTCATTTTCTACTTTGCAAAAACATAAAACAGAGAAAGGAACTGTTTCTTACCAATCTGGTCAACATTGATTTCTTGTGGATTAAGTACCCTAAGGATGTCCCTTGCAAACTAATTTTTGTTTTTTGTTTTTTGTTTTTTTACCTTTTTTGGACATATAATTGACATATACATTGTATAAGTTTAAGGTATACAATGTGTTCTTGATACATTTATATATTGCAATATGATTGCTACCTTTTGTGGTGAGAACATTTAGAATCTGCTCTCAGCAACTTTGAAGTATATAATACCCTCTTGTTAACTATAATCACAATGCTGTGCATTAGATCTCTGGAACTTATTCATGTGCCCTTTGACCAGCATCTACCCAATTCCCCCACCCCACAGCCCCTGGTAACCACCATTCTACTCTCTGTTTCTAATAGTTCAGCTTTTTTAGCTTCCACATATAAGTGATACTGAAAAGTTTTTTAAGACTTTTCATAATGTTCTGCCAAGACAGGTATTTTCTCATGAACTGTTTGTTGATTTACGTACTGTGTTAAAATCCATTCATTGACATCAGATTGTAACTCTCAGAAATGTTATATTGTGGCCTCTTTTAAAGTCCCAGTTCCTTTTCATGGAAAATAGCATTTTAAACGTAGGATTTTAGATCAGGGAGATGTGTTTCTTTCTCCGTATCTTTTATTCTTGATCTTTTTAGAATGGTGATTAAAATATGATTTCTTCGTTGAAATGCAAGTGTAAAAATAGAAATGAAGTTCAGTCAAGCTGAACCCTATATGGAAAGTGAATTTGTTAGAGTAATTTCAGCCCTTGCAGAAATGGACAAGGAGTATTTGGTTAACATCCCGTGTGTCCACCCCTGTGTTTTTGCAGATATTCAGGATGTGGCTGTCTGCAAGAATGAGCTGTTCTGTTTGCACCTCAGTGGGAAAGTCTCACATCTTTCCCTGTTATCTGTGGAACGCTGTGTGGAACGCCTGCTAAGGAGGGGCCTGTGGAACCTGGCCGCTCGCACTTGCTGTCTTTTCCAGAATTCTGTCATTGCCAGCAGAGTGAGTCAGAGAGCTTACTTGGTCATCCAGGTTGTTAAAACTAGCCGAGCTTGCAGGATTGTGCTACCGAGTTGCTTGTCTTTATCAGCCCTTTCTGTATGACCTACAGATATGCCAGCAATAAGTCCCCAAAGGAAGCATGACAAGGCTCGGGATGGGGAGAGGGTAGGAAAAAGAGTATACTTTCCATTTAAAAAAAAAATCAAATTTACTCACAGATTTATTTGAATTTCAGGCCTTGTTTTAAGCGGGATGATTGTATGATGTCTTAATTAAATTCCTACTTCCTTAGATAAGTCTCATTGTCTTTCACTAGCTTACTGATCCTCTTTAAAGCACTTTTGAGGTTTTATGTTCCATGTTAGACATAAATATATGTCAGTATGTTGACCATTTGCATATAGATTCAGATACAAATATTAAGTTATTCTATTGGGTTTCTACTTACCCTTTTATTAGGGAAGAAAATCTTTGACTGTAGATAAATTGGAGCATTTGAAATCTCAGCTGGACCTCACAACCTGTAGTGATCTAATTTCTCAGCTGGAAGAATTGATCTTAAAATTTGAACCTTTGGATTCAGCTTGCAGCAGTAGAAGAAGCTCCATTTCATCGCATGTAGGTATTCTCTCTTTTAAACGGGTTTACTGTACAGCAAGATTTTTCTACGTTACGTTCGACTCACTTACTTCTAGGATCCCAGAACTTAACTTCCTTTCCATGCAGTAGATTTTGGGGGTGGTGCTCAAGAGGGGGCTTTCTTTCAGCTATTGGGCAGCCCTGTGAAGCTCTGTTTAGGTGTGTCTTGGAGCCACATTTTGTTTTGTCATTGTTTATTATATTCTGTTTGCAAATGGACCTCATGTAGCCTCCAGCACAGGTTAAGTTGCTCCTAATATGTGCTTTCTTGCTTCCTGCTAATCCAAGTCTCAGTGCAGCTCAGGATTGTCTCATTTAATCCCCGTTCTCACCGCCAGCCTTTATGGAAATAGACTAGAAAATACAGCAGTGCGATGCCACTAGCCCATGAGAGTGGTCCTGTTGCCGGGAGCCTAACCCTTGCTCACCAGCTTGTCCTAATAGGCTGTAGCTGTTGTTATTTACCTCCTACTTTAGTGTTGGTTTTTCTCTTAAAAAGCTAAATTGTGTTATAGAGGAAAGTTTTGCTTTGATGTTTTTGGAATTCTTTTTATTTTTAGGAAAGTTTCAGCATCTTGGACTCTGGTATTTATCGTATCATTAGTAGTAGAAGAGGCAGTCAGTCAGATGAAGACTCTTGTTCCCTTCACAGCCAGACCCTCTCAGAGGACGAGAGACTTAAAGAATTTGCCTCACATCAAGAAGAGGACCAACCAGATCAGTGTTGCGGCTCACAGGGAAATGAAGGTGACGACAGTGTCTTTCTTGGCTGCTGACGTGAAGCAGTTATTTTCTGTGACTTCTGTTTGCCAGGATTATCTCATGCATAAAGTTTTCTATGAGGTGTTAATAATTTTTATTATGTTGATAGACTTTCTATCTAGAGCTATAGATCTGCTCGCCACTAGAAGAGTGGGTTTACGTTTAGTTGTTGGTTTTTTTCCTCATGTTTAGACTAACATTGGTAAAGTACCTAATTTTGATGATGCATCAAATTGCTGGAAAGCTTAAGAGAGGAGGTCATTAACCACAAGAGTGGAACGTTTTTATCCTTACTAACCAAATTATTTTCCATCAGGAATGAAAAATTACTACAGTTTTGGGGGCCATTGCCTTCACTTTTCGATGTTCGAGTATTCCTGTGACTGAACTGTTGAGAAGAGGTTAATAGAGACTCTAAACTTCCTTTTTGACTTATGGGATTCGGGGTTGGTAGGAAATGAAGGTGCCTGCCTGAGTGTTTTATACGTGGGCCATCCCGTGCATCTCGTAAACCTGTGTTCTGTTCATGTGTATCTGGGTCACTTGTGATTTTGGTATTGAATCCTTTATTTCCTTTGGTTTATTCATTTCAGAATTTCTTTCAAGATTAAAAAACTCCTGTGTGATTAGATTTTGTTTCTTTCCCCCCTGATTCCGTTCGTCAGACAATGTTTCTCATGTTCCTGTGACGTTTGAGACGGAGAAGAATGAAACTTTTCTCCCCTTTGGCATTCCATTACCATTTCGTTCTCCGTCTCCTCTTGTGTCTCTTCAGGCTGTCAAGGAAAGGTAAACTAATTAGTCTTGTCATTTAGTTCCATTTCTGGTTTTACTTCACTTATCACATTGGGCACTTTTGTGCTGAGAATGGAAAGACATTTAAATGAGAAGCAAGGATATCTCTAGGTTATTTCTAGGTATAGCCTGTTTTGTAAAGCTGTAAACTTCTCATTTCAATCTTGGGGAATTTAGCATCCCTCTTTGTTTGAATAGCTGGATGTTTGAGTTGTTACAGATGTGGGTTTTCCCCCTAGACAGAACAAAAGTTTAGCAATCTGTTTTTCCTGATGTGTGAGAGGAACAGTTTCCATGTATGATTTTTTCAGTCTGGGCTCAGAATTGGAGACTCCTCAGAAGTCTTTCTAGCTACTTGCTGGGCCCAGGATTGGCATTTGAGTTTAAGAGAGAAGACCTGCCCAGCTACTTAACCGCTTATCTGAGTCTTACTGGATACAGATGTTGCTTGTTAAGAAGAATATAGTGTGACAAGTGAGCAGCTGAGTTTCACGAAGAAATTCTTTGGCCAGGATGGGGCAGGTGATCCCATGGCCTTCTTTGCCTAAATTGACAGAAACTTTGCAGGCTCAGCTGGAGTTAAAGACATTTTCTTTAGGACTGAATCAAGATAGTTTAGTAAATAAAATGAATCCTTATGATACTGTAAATTTTCCATGGGCTTTAGGTGAAATCTGAAGTTGCTGTAAACAGTCTTGCTTTTTAGTAAGTCCAGGTTGCCTTCAGGGACTAATAGGAACTTAGAGAACTCAGGCACTACATTTTTCATTCTTGTCAGTAATGAGGCTTTTCAAAATAGTTTTGTGGTGTGTGACTTGCAGTGTTTCTAGCTTTGTGCGTAAAACTACTGAGAAGATTGGCACCCTTCATACAAGCCCTGATCTGAAAGTGAGACCAGAACCCAGGGGTGATGAGCAGTCATGTGAAGAGGATGTGAGTCCAGTCATCTGCCCAAAAGAGGAAGACACTGAGTAAGCCGTTGCATAGAAATCTGTGTAAATTCTAGAGGAGGCAGCTGTCAGTTTGAAGAAAGCCATAGACTGTGTCCTGTTAGAGAAGGTACAATGACCCTTTTCATTGTAGAAAGTGTAGCTCATAAAAACCGTGAATACCGTAAAGGAAGTGTTGGAAAGGTCCATCAACCCATAGCAACTCTGTTGAGACAGAGTTTTATTTATTTTTTTATTTCGAGGAAGATCAGCCCTGAGCCAACATCTGCTGCCAATCCTCCCCTTTTTTTGCTGAGGAAGACGTGCCCTGAGCTAACATCCGTGCCCATCTTACTCTGCTTTCTATGTGGGATGCCTACCACAGCATGGCTTGCCAAGCGGTGCCATGTCCGCACCAGGGATCCGAACTGGCGAACCCTGTGCCGCCGAAGCGGAACATGCGAATTAACTGCTGCACCACTGGGCCGGCCCCGGGATGGAGTTTTAATTTAGCACTTCTTCCATCTTTCCCCTGCACAACCTCCCCCCATTCCAAATCTCTTCAAACTTCTGGGATGTTAGAGAAGGAATATTAGATTAAGAGTAGGATAATCAAGAATCTAGGCCTTGGGGCTGGCCCCGTGGCTGAGTGGTTAAGTTCGCGGGCTCTGCTTCAGCGGCCCAAGGTTTCGCTGGTTTGGATCCTGGGCACGGACATGGCATCACTCATTAGGCCATGCTGAGGCAGCGCCCCACATGCCACTACTAGAAGGACCCACAACTAGAATAAAGAGCTATGTCCTAGGGGGATTTGGGGAGAAAAAGCAGGAAAAGAAGAAAAAAAGAAGATTGGCAATAGTTGTTAGCTCAGGTGCCAATCTTTAAAAAAGAAAAAAAAAAGAATCTAGGCCTTGCCCTGTTTCCACTTTTGAATAGCGTGTAACCTTGGGTAAGTCACTAATGCTCTCTGGCTTGAATGTAAGGTATCTTGTCCTGTGCCTTCCTATGATATGCTGGTGACATAGTCCTTATGCAGTAGAGTTATAGCAGAGCCCATGGTCTGGCACAGGGTGAAGCATCTTGTCCATCTGGTCTCTTTCTTACCTCATAGTTCAGGGGATCTGGGCATTAGAGGCAAGTAAGCTCAGTACTCACCCAGGAATGGAGAGTGACCCACAGGCCCAGAGCATGTGGACAGTCAGATGGAATAAAAAGTGTGTTAGCCTCAGAATAACTTAGTGAATCCATATGTTTATGGGAAAAAAGTACAGATATTGCTATAACAGTCTGACCTTAGCCTACCTTTCCAGCCTCATTTCCAACCACATCCCTCTAAGCACTCTAAATTCTGGTCCTGTTGGAGAACTGGGTGTGAACACCTCACTACCTTTCTTTGTGCTGTTTCTCCCAACTGCAGTATTTTTCCTAACACAAATACCACCTCCTCAGGAAAGCTTCCCTTGATTGCCTAGTCTGAATAATGATTCCTTTTTCTGTCCTTTCGTAGCATCATGCTTGTGCCACTCTTTGATGTTCATTTCATTCTCTTTTGTATTTTCCTTAGTTGTTTGCATGCTTGTCTGACTAGAGCTTACTCATCTTGAGGCCGTGGACCATTGTTTGTACTCATCTCTGTCTCACGTGACGTTAACTGCAATCCCTGCTACTTAGTAAGCACTTAGAAATATTTGTCTAAGGAAACTCTAATCCCCTCTAACTCTTTTCGCACTTTTCTAGGGAAGAAAAAGAAGTAACTAGTCAACCTCCAGAAGAAGACAAGCTCCAAGAGCTCAGAATAGCAACAGCAGAAGCAATGTGAGTATTCATGAATGAGAAAGTTTTATGGTGGATGGGAGTGACTTTTTGAGCTCGTCAGTAGCAGTCCTGAGACAGTGTGGGGCAGAGGTAGTCTCATTTGGAATTGAAATTCAAGAATTAGTACAAAGTTAATGTTCCCTGTGTTGTCATCTTGCTGAGATCATAGTTAAAGAATTGAAAAGTAACATTCCAGGTAAATGTGTTTTGTCTGTTACGTTTATTTAGCATGAAATAATTTGTTTTAAAAAAACAAATAATACATAAATTTCATACTTGTCTGTCTTGTATAGGACCAAGCTAGAGGACCCACTGGTTTTATTTGAACCCAAGTCTCTGAGAATGGTTTTACAGCAGTGGCTTTCACAGTTAGAAAAAGCGTTTGCCATAAAGGATTTTTCAGGCATTTCAGATGCTGGCAACTCATCCATGACATCGAACCAGGATGTGCTATTGCTTGATGAGTCGAAAAAGGGAATATTAGATGAAGATAATGAAAAAGAAAAAACGGCCTCTCTAAGCAATGAGGAAACCGTGGATCAAACAGTGTGTGACTCTGTAAATAACCTGAGGGAGCCCTTGGATGACCTTTTTCAAGTATGTTCTCCATGCAGCATAGCAAACGATCTTCAGAAGGACCTGGCTGAATTGACAACGTTGTGTTTGGAATTGAATGTGTTGAATTCTGAGATGAAAAGCACAAGTGGGCATGCGGACCATACTTTGCAACAGTGCTCTCCTGAAACTCTGGCTTGTCAGTTCCTAAAGAAGTATTTTTTTCTCCTGGACTTGACAAGAGCAAAGGAGAGTATCAAGCTTAGTTACACTGACAGTCCTTGTGTTTGGGATACTTTCATTGAAGGATTGAAAGGTACTAGTCAGATTGCCTTACCAAGGATAGAAATTGGTATAAGGATAATAGCATCTTGGCATTTTTGAGTTTAAAAAAATAGATTTAAGTAGAAAGTCACTTCTCTTCTGGTCAACCTCCATTTTGTTTTCCACTCAATTTAATTTTTAATTGTTCTTCAAACATTGGTTTATTTTGCAAATGTATTATAAGAAATTAAGGGCCGGCCCTGTGGCTGAGTGGTTAAGTTTGCATGCTCTGCTTTGGTGGCCCTGGGTGTCCCCGGTTCGGCTCCTGGGTGCAGACCTAGCACTACTCATCAGGCCATGCTGAGGCGGTGTCCCACATAGCATGACCAGAAGAACCTACAACTGGAATATAGGACTATGTACTGGAGGGCTTTGGGGAGAAGAAGGAAAAAAAAAAAGATTGGCAACAGATGTTAGCTCAGGGCCAATCTTAAAAAAAAAAGATTCACTTTTTAAAAAAAGAAATTAGTTTTATTTCTCTCCCAATCATATTCGGAAAATGATATGGCAAAGTTGGAGAAGTTGGGGGTAAAGTAAGATTTTATAAATGCAGAAAAATCCCTCACATAACTTATTAATTTTGAAATAATATATACCATTTTTGAGTACTTCCCTGTGCCAGATACTATGCTAAACACTATAGGCATCATCTCATTTTATCCTTACAAAAGCCTTCGGAGTAGGCTTTCGGAGTAGGCTTCCATTTAATAGGTGAGGAAACTGAGACAGAGAGATGATAATAGTTAAGTAGGCTAAACTGCTGTAAGAAATATCTCATAATGTAATAACTCAAATATAAAAGAAGTTTATTCCTTGCTCATATACCACTGCAGGACATGTTCCAGGTCAACGGGCAGCTCTCTTCCATGTGGTAATCCAGGGTTCCATGTTCCTTCCTTTTCTTTGAGCTCCTTCCACCATTGCACTTGGGATTGAGATTGGATTGCTATGTCCAGGGGAAAGCATGTGGAAGTGGTGAACGTGCCCTCTTTTAGGCCTGGCCTGGGAGTGGCTTACATCTCTTCTGTGGTTTACATTCCATTGATGAGAATTCTAGGACAAGGCCCCACCTAACTGCAAAGGAGACTGGGAGATGTGACCTATCCAAGGGTCTGGAAAGAAGAGAATGGATGTGGGTGAAGAGTTTGTGTGTCTGCCTCAGAGATTCTGGTTGACAGCCCGCAGTCTCTACTTCATGCTTGATTGAAGGTCACACTGTCATCCTCATATAGAAACCAGCTCTCATACCCCAGAGAACATGCGTGCCCTTCCTACTGCGTAGTCCCAGGTTTTTGAAGAGGTGAAATTTCTTAATTCAAAATTCTGCTTGAATAAAAGATGCCATGTTTCTAATAATTGATTTAGACTTTAAGCAGACTTTTCATTCATTACCAAAAGTGAATAGTCATAAGCAGAGACACATTTTTATATTACCAACTTAAAGAGCTTTTAGTTTTCTAGAAACATGGATCTGTAGTTGTGGCTCTGCTTCCATCCACATTTAGCAGTTAAAAGCATAAGAAATGATTTCATTTTCTTTTTCAGAGTTGAGGTACACTGTCTTTTATGTGAAATAAGAAAAGTTATTTCTCTTTAGATAGGTTCAAATGTTTGACATTCTTACTTACGGGAAATATGCTATATCTGTCTCTATTATGTGATCATACGCAACCATGGTCACAGGAAAATAGCAGAAAAGAGTCACAGGAAAAAAGCAGCCTGAGTGTTGTTAGATTGTTACTAGCGCTGGCTAGAGTGAATGTGATGGGCAGTTTGAGATGGTGTATCTGCTTACTTGAATTTCTGAGGATGGGTTTGGCTTAGCTCCCACCTACTCATAAAGCTTTCCCTCACTTCCCCAGCTCTAAACGATGGCTGCCTCCTCTGAAGTCCTTTAAGTTCTTACTGCCCGGCACAAACTGGAAATAATGAAACTGATTGGGAAAAAATGATTTTTAAACATAGATATATCAGGCATTGAAGATCTTTCGAAATGGTCTATTGAACAGGCTCCACCCTCCTAATGATGCTGTATTTATGGAAAACGGCTTTTGGAACTGTTCCTTGGGACTTGTCTTTGGAGCTGGTTGAAAACTACTTGAAGAAACTCGTTTTACTTTAGATTCACATATATAGAGAGAGACAGTATATGTATTTAACAAGTAGTTTTAACTAGATCATCACTCACTCTGTTTACCACACTTGGCTTTAAATGACTTGGCTGTTCCCAAAAGTCAAATCTTCCATCAGAGGAAGAAGATTGGCTATAACTGATGTTTGTTTTGTTTTGTTTTTGCTGAGGAAGATTAGCCCTGAGCTAATATCTGTGCCAGTCTTCCTCCGCTTTTCTATGTGGGTCGCTGCCACAGCCTAGCTGATGAGTGGTGTAGGTCCGTGCCCAGGATCTGAACCTGCGAACCTGGGCCACTAAAGCAGAGGGTGCTAAACTTAACCACTATGCTATGGGGCCAGCCCCTATAACTGATGTGTTTTGTTTGTTTGTTTGTTTGGGTTTTTTTTGGTGAGGAAGGTTGGCCCTGAGCAAACATCTATTGCCGGTCTTCCTCTTTTTGCTTGAAGAAGATTGTCACTGAGCTAACATCTGTCCCTATCTTCCCCTATTTTATGTAGGATGCTGTCACAGTGTGGCTTGATGAGCCATGCTAGGTCTGCACCTGGGATCCAAACCTGTGAACCCTGGGCTGCTGAAGCAGAGTGTGCGAACTTAACTTCTGCGCCACTAGGCCAGCACCTATAACTGACATTTTTAAAAAATAGTTCAGATATTTTTAAGTTAATTTAATTAAATTTATGAATTAATTTTGTTCTGAAAGATGAAGTAGGGGCACTGGTTCTAGAAAAACACTGAGGAATTTGGTATTGATGGTGGTTATATAGCTTATATAATATATGATATAATTAACAATATAATAATACATGCACACACACATATATACATGCACCCTTTTCAAGGATAATAATCACTTATGTATTGGTTGTCTGTCCCTTTGTGTTATTTTAACTTTCAGGATGCTTTGCCTCCCACTTTGACTTTAAGTTCCTTAAAAGTAGAGATTGTATCTTGTTCTTTTTTGTCTCTTGCGATGCTTGACCAACATCGGGCCTTGCACACTGTAGGCGCATGACTAATGATTGTTGAATGAATGTGTTCATGAATTGAGTATTTACTGCTACGAGATGAAGGGAAAAGGGTGTGCTTTCTCTTTCAGAAATGGCCAGTTGCAGTCCTACGTATATGGAGATGGGAGAAGGAGACCTGCCCACGAGATTAAAGTTGCTGGATGACTCAGTCCCTTTCGACAGTCCTCTGTTGGTTGCTTATGCTGCCCGGTAAGTTGTCCTAGATGTTGTTTCTGTGAACTGAAGCACATGCGGTTTGTGGTCTTAGTCTCTGAAGTTTTACTCAGTTGCGTGTTGGGCAGCTTCTTGTTAGTATATTTATTTTTTCTAATAAGTATTTCAGTAATGTAACCAGCTTACATCGTCTCACTGAAGTTGGAGACTTAATGTTTTGTTTTTAAATGCAGATTGTATGAGAGGTTTGGGGAATCTGCCCTTCGATCCTTAATCAAGTTTTACCCATCCATTTTGCCTGCGGATGTCATGCAACTTTGTCATCATCATCCTGCTCAGTTTTTGGCTTATTTAGACAGTCTGGTGAAATCAAGGCCTGAAGATCAACGGTGAGTAGGGGAGGAAATTTGCAGACTCTCGTTCTTTTGATAGGGCAGTGTTGCTCTTGTCCACGCAGTTGTAGCATTTCTTCTGTTCACTGCTGTGGGATTGAGGCCCTCGTGTGGAAGAGGAGGATTTTGTCAGTCGTGTCCCATTCTTTCACGGTTTACAGCGCACACCACAAACGTGCACATCCCATACTCGCCTTCCTTCTCTTTTCCTCTCTCAGGGATTCTCGGATCATCTGTGTAAGATTAAACCCCTCTTCCAGAGCCTGGGCTAAGGCAGATAAGCTTCCTTATTGTCTCTGCTAGTGAGTGAATTTATTGCCACTTATTTATTTATTTATTTTTTTACTGAGGAGGATTCACCTTGAGCTAACATCTGTTGCCAGTCTTCCTCGTTTTACTTGAGGAAGACTCACCCTGAGCTAACGTCTGTGCCAACCTTCCTCTATTTTGTATGTGAGTTGCTGCCACAGCATGGCTGCTGACGAGTGGTATAGGTCTGCACCCAGGAACCTAACCTGAGCCACTGAAGTAGAGCACACTGATCTTAACCAGTAGGCCATGGGACCAGCCCCTTATTGCCCCCTTTTTATAGACAATATTCCAGCTTTTTGTGGGTGGGTCTCAGTTCCAGCTCTTCAGCCTCTTTTTAGGCTGAAGCCTCATTTCCTATTTCCATACGGCCTTAAACCCCTGTGCCCATTGCTTATTGAGACCGGCCACTTTCTCCCTCTCTTTCTCCCTCTGATTGATTCATATTGCCATACTGGTTTTTATTTATCTTTTTTTGGGTTTTTTTGCTCTTTGGTATTTTCCTTCTTATCTTTGGGCTCAACTATTCATTTAAAAGGCTATTAGATTTTCACCAGTATTTCTAGACATTTTGTAGCAGAAGGGTTTTCAAGTTATATTCAAGGGTATTTCAAGTTATATTCAATATCCGCTGTATTGATCCCTTAACATTTTCTTCACATCCCCACATTTTATGTTTCCTTTCTCAGCATGAAGATTGGTGCTTTTTCTCCCCACCTTTCTCTTAGGCCATCCTTCCTCGAGTCCCTTCTACAACCAGAGTCTTTAAGATTGGATTGGCTGCTTTTGGCAGTGTCCCAGGATGCTCCCCCAAGCACCAGCACTGTGGATGAGGAAGGAGACCCCAGGTATAGGAGGAGTCCTCTTTCTAAGCTCTGATGATCCTTCCGAATGGAAGCAGTCATTCACATGTAGTGTTCTGGGCTTACTGCAGGAGCAGCTATGGAAGAGACTGACCCCAGTCTGGTAGGAGTGACACTAAGTACTTCGTAGTGACTATGAACACTTTCCGAGTCACAGATCCTGTAAGAATCTGGTGATTCCTCTCAGAAAAATGCACATCCAGGCAAAATTTGGCACATGATTCCAGAGAATTAAACTGACCCCTGATGCTGTTTCATGGATCCACATTAAGAGCCCTTGGTGATTAAACCTGTGTTGGAAGAAGAAAATTTTGTGTGTCTGTTTGTAGTTTCTTCCTAGAAATTTGCCCAGGGATTTTCAGGTGTAACCTGATTTAGGATTTTTTAAAAAAAATAGACTTCATAAAAAATACGCTCATACTTCTGATGTATCAGAAATGTGCCAGTGTTTTCTTCCAGGAGAAACTTTTTAAAAGCCCCCAAAATGCCTATCCTTTATGCCTAGACAAAGGTCTGCAAGGATATAAAATGGCGATCTGTGAATGATGAGTTAACGGGCTTTTGTTCTTTTTCTTTTGATTACCTAAAATGTCTAATGTTAAAAAATGAAGAGGTATTTGTTCTAGGAAAAATAATTTTTTAATTTTTCAAAAGCCAAATAGAAATGTTTGAAAATATAATAATAATGGAAGAAATATAATTAACTGTGCTTACCTATTAGGTGACTAATAAGCATTTTGAGAGTTTATTTCCTATCTGATGTGCTGAGAGTTTTCCATTTCACAGGCCTCATTCACACTTGTTTTCCTGGGGTTACAGTCAGCTCATCCTTCATCTAATTAAACTCCCTGCAGATTTTACAAGCAAAGAGAAAATGACTGACATCTGTAGGTCTCATGGGTAAGTGAGAATTTCTTAGAAGCTGAAGTTAAGATTAGAATCATTTTAGTTAATTGCTTTGTAGTTAAGGGCCTGAATTGACATGCTTTATCACTTGGGAATTCTCTTTGCTACATAAAAATGCTTTTTTGTTTTAAGTGATAGGAAAGTAAACATCTTTTTCCTTTTAAATTTTTATGTGTTTTTCTTTGTGTGGAGGAGATGGCTCTTACTAATCCCTCTCTCCACCTTCTGCTTAGTCCTGAGCCCCAGATCTCAGGCATGTGGATGGCATCTAATTAAGCACCAGACAGTGTGATCAAGTGACAATCAATACAGGGTTTCCAAGAAGGGAGAGGTCAGGATGGGCTCAGTAGCATCTCTGGTGAAGGACTCAGGGAGGGGGTGAGACTTCGGAGGTAATCCCTGCAGGCTGGGTACGATTTGTATTTATAAAGGAGCCGGGAGGACGGCAGCTCAGGTGACAGAAACAGCAAGAGCAAGGGCATGGAACACTGACGTTGCTTTTTATCCATGCCACATATCAGTCAGTTATTAATGCCTAACGATGTTGTCTTATGGCTTCACCTGGATCATAATCTTTTGGAGACAGAGGCCTGTGTCTTCCTTTTCCCCCATAATGTCTAATTCCTACAGTGGTAGGTACTTGATACGTATCTGTTCATTGATAGTGCGGGATGAGACTGGCCAGGTGGTGGTTGATGAGATCATGTAGGACCTTGAAAGGGGGTTAGAAGAATTTACTTAGCAGAGACCCTTTTAGACGTTTTGGTATGAAAATGATGTGACATAAATGGAGCTTTCTGGGGATTATTTCTGGTGTCATACACGAGAAGGATCAGAGACAGAAAGGCCAGCTAGGAAGCTGTTGCAGCAGTTCAGATAGACCAAATTGGTGACTGGTAGGGCAGCAGCAGGAGCACATAGGAGGGACATTTTGAAGGAAAATGCCTTTGGACTTGTAGGTACTGGATATAGCAAATGAAGGAGGGGGAAGAGTCAAGGAGAACTTGTATAGTTTATATATTTGGGGAAGAAACATACTCATTGTGTATTGAATCTTAAAGCTGATAAAGTGTATAAGCTTAAGTATGTCGTAATTGATGCTTGGCCTCAAATGTCAGCCTCTGTCGCTGGCTTTTGCTTTTTTTCTTAATTGCGCTAGATCAAGGCTGTCTAATTGAACTTTCTGTGATAATGGAAATGTTCTACTGCACTGACCAACATGGTAGCCACTATCCACGTGTGGCCATTGAGTACTTGAAATATGGATTAGTTGACTGAAGAACTGACTTTTAAATTGTGTTTACTTTTAATTAATTTAAATTTAGATAGCCACCTGTGGCTAGTATCTGCTGTATTGGACAGCACAGCTCCAGATAAGTTCACTGTTTCTCATTCCTGTCTTCAACTTTGATCTCTTTAAAGTTTCTGGCCTGGCTATCTTATTCTCTGTTTGGAGCTGCAGAGAAGAAAAGAGGCCTTCACCAACATTGTGTATCTGAATGATATGAGCCTGATGGAAGGGGACAGTGGTATGTAAATCTCAGTTGGTTACTATTGGTGGTTATATTTTAGAAGTCACTCCAGACTTTTCAATAAAGAAATTTGGTAAACATTTCAGTGATTGTGTATATAATTCTAGCTAACTGTCAAATTTGTTGATTTTTTTTTTTGATCTATGCCACTTGGTACATTATGAAACCATAAGTAAGAGTAAACTACAGGCAACTTTTCTATTTAACAAGCATCTTTGTGTGTTAGGCACTATACCAGCTGCTTTTCCATATGCTATTTAAATGACATAAACCTGTGGGATAGTTATTATTGCTTCTGTTTTCCAGAAGTTATAACTGAGGCCCAGAAAAGGACAATTGGTTTCCCCAAAGTCATACAGCTAGTTAATGCTGGAGCTGGTGTTCAGACCCAGGTTTCATTTTCTCTAAAGTGTGTGCTCAGGTTCTTTTTTCTGCATCGTGTTGCCTTTTTGCACTGTCAGAAGTTAGAGGTGGTTACGATGAACTTGAACTGAAGTTGCAATCAGATTCCCTAAGCCTTCATGGCTGTTTAGATGCTTTTTTTCTTAATTTTATTTTTCATCAATCTAGCACAGATAAAATAGCCATCAGAAGGCCAGGACTTTGACACTGATATCTGAAGTCTGGGAGCTCATCTTGCACTCAGAGAAGTGGTCTTGGTCTGTTCTGTAGTGTTGCTTTATTCATCTCAGGGCAGAGATGCCAGCAGCATGACGTCAGGATCCTTCATCCAGCAGTGCGACCTGTTGGTGTAGGGAGGGAAGGTGAGAATGGCAAAGAAGCCGGTGACTGGCAGGGTTAGCTTCAGATGTCACAGCTCTAGCGAGAATTACTGAGATCATCTTTGTTTCAGAAATGAAGCAAGTGGGCCAGATGGTTTTGTAGGACTAGAACTATAAACATGCAGACATTTTTGAAAAATAACCAGAAAAGTGAAGATAGAAATGGTTTCTTTTTAAAGTTACAACACCTTGTTTGCTATAGAAAAAAATGGGAAATTCAGGATGCGTAAAGAAAATAAACATCACCTAAAATCTCCCTGCCCAGATAGAAGTACCCTTAATATTTTGTTCCTATAATAATAACTATTACCTGGTGTATTAAACGGGAGTCTTTGCTTGACATGTCTCTCTCTTCATAACTCTTGTTAGTATCACTCTCCAAGGCGTGTTGATTTTACTGCCAAGTGTATATCTCATATCTGTGTACTTCTTTTACTCCACCACTGTCACCCTGGTCCTAGCTATTTGCCTAGACTACTGCAATAACCTCATAATTGGTCATCTGGTTTCCATTGTTGCCTACCTTTAATTTGTTTTCCTTACAGCAGCCAGAATGGGTCTTTTAAACAAAAATTGGATTATGTGGCTTTGTTCCTTGAAACCCCTTACATTAAACTCAGAATAAAAGAATAAAATCCAGATTCTTAAGCTGGTCCCTTAAGGCCTGGCCCTGTCATCTCAATCTCACTGCTGCCTTTGTGCACTACTGGCCTTTTTTGAGTTCCTTGAACTCACCAAGTTCTCTCCTGTCTAGAGATGTCTTCCGTGTTTCCTTTGTCAGAAATGCAGGCTCCTTCACCCTCCATTCCTGATGCCCCCCTACCCAAAGTTTGCGCATATGTGGGCCACATGCACATGCTCTGTATGTCTCATCTTCCAGCTCTTTGCTTAAATGTCACTTCCTCACAGAGCACTTCTCAGATCCTCCAAAAAAACCTGCCATTCTCTTTAATGGTTTCTTGATCTTTCCCCTTATAGCACTTAGCACAGTTTGTAAGTATTTGTGTGTGTGTCTAAGTCTTGTCTCCTTTACTAGACTGTTAGCTCCACAAGAGTGTAGGGGTCATCGTGTCTGCTCTGTTCCTCAGTGCACATCCTATGCGTAGCGTAGAGTGTGTCCAGGGTACTTACTGACTGATGAGTGAGTGGGTGAGTGAGTTTTGAAGCTAATTTCATGGCTTCTCTATATCATGAACTATTTATTAAACAAATGTTCAGGAAACAACTTGATGTTAGGGTGATGAGATTATGTTCTTTAATATTTTTATGCTTTGGAACTAAATGTTTTCACGAATGGTTTTGACTGCCTCCGTGTGCAGCCAGGGTGCTAAGAGCAGTCCGAGCCAGCTTTTTTGCTGTGTGTTTGTATAGGTTGGATCCCAGAGACTGTGGAGGAATGGAAGCTTCTCCTACATCTCGTACAGAACAAGAGCACAAAGCCAGCCCCTCAGAAGTCACCAAATGGGAACTTCAATGATGGGCCTTCCCCCATCAATGTGGAGAACGTGGCACTCCTGTTAGCTAAGGCCATGGGCCCGGATCGGGCCTGGTCACTGATACAGGAATGTGGTTTGACCCTTGAGCTGTCAGAGAGGTTTACCAGAACCTGCAATATCCTGAGGATTGCTGAGAAAAGGCAGAGGTACTCCCCGTCTGTCATGCCCTTGTCATGCCCTCTCCATCCAGAATCTCCTTCCTTTTTAAGGCTGAATAGTATTCCATTGAATGGATATATGACATTTTATTTATCCATTCATCTGTTGATGTACGCTTGGGTTGCTTCCACCTCTTGGCTCTTGTGAGTAATGCTACTATGAACACGGGTGTACAAATATTTCTTCAAGAACCTGCTCAGAGTTCTTTTGGGTATATACCTAGAAGTGGAATTGCTGGATCATGTGTTAATTCTCTTTTTAATCTTTTAAAGAACCGCCACACTGTTTTCCATAGAGGCTGCACCATTTTATGTCCACACAGTGTCCAAGAGCCCGTTTCTTCACATCCTTGCCGACGCTAGTTATTTTCTGTGTTTTTTTGATAGAATCTGTCCTAATGGGTGTGAGGTGATGTCTCATTGTGGTTTTTATTTGTGTTTCCCTAATGATAGTGATGTTGAGCATCTTTTCATATGCTTATTGGCCATTTGTATACCATCTCTGGACAAATACCTATGCAAGTCTTTTGCCTGGTTTTTAATTACGTTATTTTTCTTTTTTCTGTTGATGTATGAGTTCTTTATATATTCTGGATGTTACCCGTTTGTCAGCTACATGATTTGTAAATATTTTCTCATATACTTTGGGATGCCTTTTCATACGATGCCTTTGCACTCTGTTGATTGTGTCTTTTGATGTGCAAAATCAGTCAACTTTTTGAATCATCTAATTCTCTGTGGATTTCTAAGTTTTATGTGAAGAGCAAACAGTGACAACTAAATTTGCTTGTTTCTTTTCTTTGGGATTTCAGAGCCTTGATACAAAGCATGCTTGAAAAATGTGATCGGTTTCTCTGGTCTCAGCAGGCCTAGTGGAAGAACATTCAGCAGGATGTCATGACGTTTTGAGAAAAACTGAATCATGCTCCTGAACCTTCTGAACGCATTTGTCATTGATGGAAAGGCACTACTTGACAACCCTGCCACCTTATGGGAGTGCTTGTGTCATTGTCTGTCACCTCGACATTCGTGGCTCTATCTGTGACTGCAGTGTTTCTCAACCAGAGTTGAATTTTGAAAGACATCAGCCCTTGTCTGCTGAAGTGAAGTGTTCCGGAATCAGAATGTGAATGTTCACAGCTATATAGTCCTTATTCTTTTTTTTTTTTTCTTTTGAAGATTACTGCCAGTCCTCCTCTTTTTTGCTGAGGAAGACTGGCCCTGAGCTAACATCCATGCCCATCTTCCTCTGCTTTATATGTGGGATGCCTACCACAGCATGGCATGCCAAGTGGTGCCATGTCCGCACCCAGGATCCGAACTGGCGAACCCTGGGCTGCCGAGAAGCGGAATGTGTGAATTTAACCGCTGCGCCACCAGACTGGCCACTACAGTCCTTATTCTGAATGACTTTTATTTGCTCTTTGCTAGTGTTTTGAGGGAATTCTTTTCCTATTGTGACTCCCGTGTTGGGAGCAGAAGTTTGTCGTCCTGGTCACATGAAGACAGATAATGTAATTGACAGGAGTTGAATTCTTTCTATGTCTTGTCTGGGACAGTGGAGAAATTACTGAAATAAGACCTGATATAATGGAATTAACATGTAAAATAAGTGAAACATTGAAGAGTCAAATTAGATGTTTAATGATGTGGCCCCATGTCTAAATTAAGCTAATTAAAATTTTTTTGCCCCAGTATTTGACATTTTTCTAATCTGAACCTATATACGACTAATTAATTACCGGAAATCTTTTATCCCTAATCTTTCCTAAACAGAATAGCCTAAAGGAATCATGCACTTTTAAAAATTATTTTTTAAAAGCCGTAATAAAGGCAGACTTAGTATTAGTAAAGGCTGCGGCAAGTGCTGTGCTATTTAAACTGTGTAACTAGATCTCCTGTCAGGCCGCTGTACACTCACATAGCATGTTATAGTAATAATAAAAGTAAAATCTGATTAAAGTTTTTTTCCCCCTGAGGAATATTTGTTCTGAGCTAGTATCTGTTGCCAGTCCTCCTCTTTTTGCTTGAGAAAGATTTGCCCTGAGCTAACATCTGTGCCAGTCTTCCTCTATTTTTCTTTTAAAGATTTTATTTTTCCTTTTTCTCCCCAAAGCTCCCCGGTACATAGTTGTGTATTTTTAGTTGTGGGTCCTTCTAGTTGTGGCATGTGGGATGCCGCCTCAGCCTGGCCCGATGAGCCGTGCCATGTCCGTGCCCAGGATCCTAACCAGCTAAACCCTGGGCCGCCGAGCGGAGCGGGAGAACTTAACCACTTGGCTACGGGGCCGGCCCCTGTCTTCCTCTATTTTGTATATGGGTTGCTGCCACAACATGGCCACTGAGGAGTGGTGTAGGTCTACACCTGGGAACCAAACCCAGCCACCAAAAGCAGAGTGTGACAAACTTAACCACTAGGCCACAGGACCGGACCCATGCTGATTCGTTTACATTCAAATAGGATATATGCATGAGGGTTATTGTGAGAAGTTTGCAGGAAGGTGTGGTATGGGGTAAACTGGGCTTGAGTAAGATAAGTGCTGGATACATTGAATGATTCACTCCTTTTTTTCATTTGTGACACAACCAGAGAACATAGGCATGAATGGCTCTCATGACATTTGGATGTGTTGTAATTGGATGAGTTGACAATACTGTCAGAGAAAGGAGGCTTTACAAAGCTTCCTAGAATTTTGGGAAGTGTGGAAAACCTATTGGTTCTGGTCACCAATTCCAATGTGTGGCAGCAGTGGGGGTGGCGTTTCTCCACACAGAGCAATTTTCTGACACCAGCTGGGTGTCCCGCAAGTCAGGTCCACTCAGTTAAGATACTGCCTATCCAGAGATAGCATCAGATTCCACAGGTTAAAGGCTCAGTCCCACAAGACTGCCCTCTGCTTCAAATGCCAATCGCAAGTCTAGGTTGTCACATGAGCTTCTGATCGATTAATTTGCTAAAGTGGCTGACAGAACTCAGGAAACCAGTTTACTCACTAGATTGCTGTTTTGTTATGAAAGGGTCTGGGGCCTGGCCTGGTGGTGCAGCAGTTAAGTTTGCATGCTCTGCTTCAGCGCTGGTTCGGATCCCAGGTGCAGACCTGTTCACTTCTTATTAAGCCATGCTGTGGCAGCGTCCCACATGTAAGGTCGAGGGGGATGGGCACAGATGTTAGCTCAGGGAAAATCTTCCTCAGCAAAAAAAGAGGAGGGTTGGTGGTGGATGGTAGCTCAGGGCTAATCTTCCTTAAAAAAATAAATAAATAGAAATAAAAGGATCTAACTCAGGAACAGCCAGATGAAGAGATGCATAGGGCAAGGTATGGGGAAAGGGCGTAGAGCTTCCATGTCCTCTCCGAGCACCACTGCCTCCATGTGCTCACTAACCTGTAAGTTCTCTGAACGCTTTCCTTTTGGGTTTTCATGGAGGCTTCATTACCTAGGCATGACTAATGAAATCATTAACCATTGGTGATTGAACTCAATCTCCAGCTCCATTTCCCTCCCCGGAGGTCACGGGCTGGGATGGCTGGGGAGACTGAAAGTTCCAACCCTCTAATCACGTGGTTGGCTTCACCAGCAACCAGCTGTCATCCTTAGGTGGTCAAAAGTCACCTGATTAACATAAGAAGAGACCTTTCTGGCACTATCATTTAGAAAATTCCCAGAGTTTTAGGAGCTCTGTGCCAGAACCAGGGATGAAGGCCAAACGTGTATTTCTTAGTATCAGTCACAGCATCACCCCTTCCCACTAGCGTCAGCTGGATCTTGGCTGGACTGGATTATACTGAATGTCTGTACTAAGATAATGGGCGAGAGCCCTCCCTGCACAGTCTGTCGGCTTGGTCGTTACACAGCGCTTGTCCAAGAGAGGACCCAGAGGGAATCTCAGGAGACAGCCTGAACTGCACGACTGTGCAATCATTTCCCAACAGATCTTTCTGGGGCGTGTTACAGCAATCCTCATTTACCAAAAGGGTACAGAGAATTTGCTAGTATTACCAAAAAAATCACATCATCTGAATTTATTTCCAAGGCAAACAAATCGAAAAAAAACCAACCTCCCATTCAGTTAAACATGTAAATTTGAAGTCTTCGTGGATGTTAGGCAGCGTTCTCAACTACAACTCGTGTCCTTCACTTGCCTGGAAATGCTGCACAGACTGTGGCTCACGGTGACCTTGCTCACCTTCGTGTGCAGCCCTGACAGCTGGGTGACAGGGAGCAGAGCAGCTCAGAGCCTGGGTTCTCAGAGACACGGTCTGACTTGGAACGTCGGCTCTTTTTCTAAAAGACCTTGGGGGAGTTTCTCTGTCTCAGTTTCCTCATCTGTGAAATGGGGCTCATAGTAGCACTCACTTAGGATAGTCTGAGGATGAAATGACGCGATGAATGCACGATGAGTGCAGCATGTAGACTGGGGTTAGAGCTAGCCGGCAGTAACAATCAAATGAGACTGAAGTGCAGAGCGTAGTGTCCGGGACCTGGTCTGTGGGTAACAAGGGTGAGCTGTTGTCTGAAAGGTTTGCAACATCTTTCACCCAGTAGGATCAGACCCGTGTAAACTGGTTTATATGAATCAGAGTGGGGAGACCAAAACTGAGGTCCTTGCACCTATTAAACTTGTCACTGCCCTGGTCAAGCTCACAACCTTGTGGTCATCCTTGCCTCTTCCCCTCCTCAACCCTCACTTCTAGTTACGAGGTAAATCCTCTCAATTCTAGGTTGGTGGGGTTTTCCATTAGTCATTCTTTTCCGTTCTCTCTTGTCCCCAGCCCACCTTCTCACTCCTTCTTGCCTAGACAGGGGCAGCAGCCTGAGGGTCCTCTCTTTCCTCACTGTGTACCCTGCCTTCCCACCACCACCGCTCAGTCTGCACACGTGACAATGTCAGCAGCCTGTCAGGTACCATGGTCAGGTGATTCACAGCCCACCACCCTTCAGTCACCCCAGACCTGGTTAAAGATGCAGATCCCAGGGATCCTGCCCTAGCCCTGGACTCTCTAGATTTAGAGACAAATCTAACCTCCTGCAACTGGCCCCCACCCTCACGTTGTTCCTGATGCGGGGTTGGTGAGCCGAGGAGTCGAAAGAAAGATTTCTTGGACTCTCAAGGTCTGGCAGTAGTGCTCTTTTATTTAGAGAATAGTGTGGAATAGCATGGGGACAGGAGCCATGGGCAGTCAGGCTGCTGCGTGGGGACAGGACCCATGGACAGGAGGAGGTGCTGCTGCCACTGCTTCTGCCACCGCTTCTGCTGCAAACATGAGTGGAGAGTAAGGCTAAATTTAAGGCATAGGCATGTGAGCCATCTCTTTACAAGACAAAGGAAAGAACATGTAAAAAAGTTAAAATGGTATCAGTGCAGGTGGGGTCTGGCCATTGGGTGGTCCCACAACTTTTAGGTAAGAATCAAATCGGATTAAGTAAAGGCCAGAAGCCACCACCCTAAATCAGTTACATGAGGTTGCCAGACAGTAACCAATTTAAGTTCTTGCCTTTGGCATTGATTAAGAGTTTCTAGAGACAAGGTCATCTCCCTTCTTCCTGGCGCAGACAGGGAGGCATTCCCACAGATGGGGGTTTCCCCCACAAATGTAAATGCCTCCCAACAAAGGGCAAGCAAACTCTGCTCCTCGGAGCCTGCTTCTCATCTGCAGTTTTAAAAGTAACCAGCCTAAAATCCTCATCAGTTCCCAGATTTGTACGTAGAGTTATCCTGGTTCACAGATGAACCAAAGCCCCTGAGAGAGCAATTGTCTCGGTCTCCTGGAAAGTTAACTGGAGATTCCTTCTCAGAGTCCTTGTCCCCTGAGGTACAGACTTAACCGAGCCTCTCCCCAGTCAGAGGCTGTGGGGGCTCTCCTCTGCTTTCAGAATAAAGCCCAAATCCTTGAGCTTGGTATTCAAGGCCCTCTGACTTGTGTCCAAACTCTCAGTTCAGAGCCCCAGTTTGCCTCTCATCCTGGGTTCTCTGCTTCTTGGATACACTCTGCTCTTGGCCCTCTGGCTGTGCCCCCACTCAACCCTGACGTGCCCTTTGCCCCACTGCCTGCTGAGATCCCACCAGGGGTCTGTCCCTTCACGAAGGTCTATGTGTCAAAAAATGTTTTAACTGTAAATTACAGATAACATGAAATCTACCATCCTAACCATTTTGTGGCTGAATAAGGGGCTGAAATCTCCCTCGAGGCAGGAACAGCAACTTTAGAGTGAAGGCGGAGCCAAAACCAGCTCTCCCGCCCCTTCCTGTGGTAGAATCTGGATCCCACCAAACTTCCTGAAAACCCTGCAGAATTGCACACAGCGCTGCTGTGCCGTGATGACGAGCCTGGCGCGTCCAGTCAGCCCGGGTCTAGAGGATCACAAGAGAGGCCTGGAAAATTCCCGCTCGGGAGCTCTTCTGAGAGTTCAGAAAGATACTAAGAGGCCCCGCCGTGTTCCGAGTCCAGAGGATGTTTTCTTAGATGGGGGTTTCTCATCTTGCCCAGGTGGTTCGTTATTCCACATGGGCGACTCTCTGAATCCATCTGAATATCAAGTTCCCGTGTTCCTTAGTGGGCGAGGCCCTGTTTACATCTGATCGTCATGGGCAGAGCCTGGGTTTAGTGATGTGGATCGGTGTTTCTACCCTGGCTGTGTAGCTTTTCCTGGTAAACCTCCCGTCCTCACGGCATGAGGCCCAAGCAGAAGGGTGGAGCCCCGTGCTCAGCAGGGCCCTGTCCTTGGCTTCGTGTCCTGCTTTCACCATCCTGGGTTTCTCAGCAATTTCTGACTTTGGCCCACGTTTTTGTTCTGCACTTAACACATGTTATGTAACTGGTCCTGGCTGCCACAGTAGCACTGAGGTGGAGCCTGAGATGGTACATTTCTGACGAGATCCCAGGTGACGCTCAGGGTTCTTGCCCTTGGATCAGCTTTGAGCAGCAAGGCTCAGTCCGCAGCCCAGCAGAGCAGCCACGTGGAAGGAATCTGAAGACAGCACGCCCCAGGCCCCTGGCAGCTGGATTAGTGGCCACTAACTGTAAGTGAGTCACAAATTTCCATATTCCTTAAGCTTCCGTGTTTTTGTTACAGTGCCTGGCTTTCCCGTAACTGAAGGGAGCGCAGTAGAGCCGGTCTCACAGCCTGCTCTGTTCTCAGTTATTCAGGCGTAAATAATTTTGGAGAAATAGCTTTGTGTGAGGGGTGCCTTGTGAGGAAAGTACTGAAAGTCCTCAGACTCTAATCTCTGGGCAACCCTCAACTACTGTCTGGGGCCCAGGGGAGAATGGACGTCCACGCTTCCCCATAGTGAGACCCAAAGGGCCCAGGGTTATTCAGGGGACAGCCCACCGATGGGTCCAGGCAGCCTGGTGCCCAAGGAGGGTGCAGTGACTGGCACTGTCTACCATTTCAGAGTCCTCTTAAGACCGTGAACTTAAAGAAGAAAAGCAGTGGTCTATTTTTTGATGATGTAAATATAAAAGGGAAGTGTCACAATTCCGGTGCCTTTGTTCCCCTGTCCTGTCCCTGGATCTGGCCATGTCCTGACCTGGCATTCTCCCTCCTAGGATGCTGGATCAAGCTCCTCCTGGACCACGCTTGGCTGCGATGGGCTCCCCAGCGCTGTCCGGAAGAGCAGGAGGGCGTAGGTGGGGACTCGGACCTCTGAATGGGGTGGATGACACACCGAGCAGAGTCCAGGCTGTGACCAGGCTGGCTCCATGCGCCTCACTGCTGAGCTCCCGCCCCCAGGTGGGGCTGGGTCTTGCCTGGTCCTTCTCTCCCCACAACAGTCGCATCAGCAGTGGCGGCTTTTCTCCCTGGCCACTAACTGTGAGTCCTCTCTGAGGACTTGGGGGTCTTATTATTATCTATCAATACTTAACACTTGAGGAAGTGGTGTAGGTCAAGGCAGGAGCCTCAAGCCGAATGCCTGGGACGGATCCTGGCCTTGCCACTCACTAGCTCTGTGACCTTGAGCAAGTGACTCGGCCTCTCTGTGCCCAGTGTCCTGATGGGCAAAGTGATCTGCATCCTAGAGTCATGTGACGCACTAGGAATAGTCCGAGTTCAACAAGTGTCATCCGTTGTGACTGTTATTATTATTCAAATATTCTTCTGGCCAATCTCGGGAATCCCTAGTTTTTATTTTTTAACCAAAACATAATCAATGTCTCACACTAAACATAGCAAGAGCTCTTTTTCTTCTTTCACAGGAGATAATATTCTTTAGAAAATTCCCTATGCACGAGATAAACAGCAGGGTCTTTAGTTGTCTCAACGAGATAACAGTAAACAGAACTTCTAAACACTCGCCTATATAACATGGATATTGTCTTAAGTGACTGCATAGTACTCTATTTTAAGGCTGTGGCAAACATTATTTTTATTTTTTTCTTTATAGATAAGTTTTTTATTATATATTGGGTTTTGTTCCAGTGGGCCACAACTATTGCAACCCATGTCCATACATTACTTAAAGTTTCCATAGCTCAGTGCTATTACTTTTTTTCATTTTTTAATTTTTATTGAGGTTATGATAGTTTAGAAAATTGTGACATTTCAGTTGTACATGATTATTTGTCAGTCACCATATAGGGGCGCCCCTTCACCCTTTGTGCCCACCTCCCAACTCCCTTCTCCTGGTAACAACTAAATTGTTCTCTTTGTCCACGTGGCCCACATTTTTAATGAATGTCCTCTCCTTTTTTCCCCCGGACCATAGTCTATTATTTACAAAATTTTTCTCATACAGTTTTTAAACTGAGATATAATTTACCCTTATGTTTTTTTAAGGAAGATCAACCCTGAGCTAACATCTGCTGCCAATCCTCCTTTTTTTTGCTGAGGAAGATTGGCCCTGAGCTAACATCTGTGTCCATCTTCCTCTACTTTATATGTGGGACGCCTGCCACAGCATGGCTTGATGAGCAGTGCGTAGGTCCACACCTGGGATCTGAACTGGCAAACTCAGGGCTGCCAAAGTGGAGTACGTAAACTTAACCACTATGCCACCAGGCCAGCCCCAAATTCACCTTTTTAAAGTGTACAATTCAGTAGTGTCTTGGTATATTCACAAGGTTGTGCACTCTTCAGCTCTGTGTAATTCCAGAACATTTTCATCATCCCCAAAAGAAACCTCACACCCTTTAGCAGTCTCTCCCATTCCGCCTCCCCCAGCCCCTGACAACCACTAATCTTCTTTCTGTCTCTTTGGATTTGCCAATTGTGGACGTTTCATATAAATAAAACGTACAATATGTGGGCTTTTGTGTCTGGATTCTTTTATTTAGCATAATGTTATCAAGTTTATGCTGTAGCACGTATCAGTACGTCATTCCTTTTATGACTGAATTATAGTCTCTTGTATGAATTTACCACACTTCATTTAAATACCCATTAAGTGACAAATATTTTAGTTGCTTCCACTTTTTGGCTATTTTGAATAATCCTCCTGTGAACATTGCTGTACAAATTTTTGAAGATTCTTGGTTGCTGTAGGAGTCCATGATTTAGAGAGTCTCCCGTAATTCCTGTGCTCTCACAGACCCCAACCCCTTTTGTTACCGACCCTGGTTTCCCCACTGGAAATAACACACCCCTGGCTTCCCTCTGTTGGGAAGGGCTCGGGGGGACAACTGAGTTCCTCTCGGGACACAAAACATATCCGCACAAGACAAGGTCTCCCGACACGCAGTCTTGATGTTGTCTCTAGGCCTCTGCTTCTCGACATGTTTTGTTCCTGGGAACTTCTGTGTAAGGAATGAAAAAAAGGTGGAGGGAAACTTCTCTGAGGCTTTTCTTGGATGGGATGGGCAGAAATTGGTTAATAATTGGATTTATAGCTGTTGCTGAGAAATGCACAGAAGACCAAGGTGGCAGTTCCTGGAGCAGGATTCCATGGTCCACTCCTCCCGTAGCTGGATCCCCTGTCCCCAGGGACAGAGGCCACCAAGGAACAAAACTAAGGGGACTAGACCCTGGGGGCAGGGAAGTGACAGGACACAACTGAGAGGGAGTGAGGAGGCCTGGAGACAGGAGGACCAGGAAATAGCACCAATGTAACCAGAGGGGCCTGCAGAGGGGAGCAGGGCTGATGGGGGGAAGGTCGTGCATGGTGTCTTTCCTGTGTGTTGCAGAGACTGTCTCCCCTGCACCCACACACACAGGCACAGGGTCAGCCTTCACCTCAGTGTCCACCCATCGCCCCCTGGGAAACAGGCAGTCCTTAGACCAAAGAAGAGCACGCGGTTTCAACAAATTCAATCTCTTAAGCATTTATTAGACACTAATTCTGTGACCTCCACTGGCTTCTGTGGCCATAGACGTCAATAACTGGGTGTCCCTGCCCTCAGCGGGCTCACAGCCCGTCTCTTGAGAGCAGAGTGAAGAGGACGCTCAGTACTTGTCAGGCAGGCCAGCAGGTCTGAAGTGATTGGGGTCTTTGCCGCTCCGGCCCCATTCATTGGCAGCCTGGTCGGCCCTCGAGTCCGCCTCTCCGTGGCCGCTGTCTCCAAACTTGAAAAGGTCTGTGACTCTCTGAGAACTCTCTCTGGCATCGCTGGAAAGGAGGAGGGCAGGCAGGAGATTAATTCTGGGCTGATGAGCAACAGGCCCACCCTCCCTGTCTCTTCTCTTTCCCAGGGATGGCTCTAAGAGGAGCCAAGAAGGGAGGGGTCCATACACTGAGCCCACCTGGACACAGCCCACTCAGCCCACTGATGCCCTGATGCTGGGTGAGCAGCACCCAGAGGAGAGGGTTGGGAGTCGCCCATTCCCACAGCCCTGCTCTGGCTCCATCACCACTCAGACCCCACACTGGGCACAGAGGGGGACGGTGGGCCTGAGGAGGAGGAGGGGCCACGGTCCCTACAGGTCACTTCTCTAGGGCCTACCCCTCCTCATCCCCAAAGGCAGCCCAGCTCTGAGCACCCACCCCTGCACCCCCAGGCCCCAAGTCACCTGATGACTTTAGCAGCCCAGGCGCCCCCAGGGCCCCTCTGTGCGGCGTCATAGTTCCCGCGCGCGTGGAAGTATTTGTCTGCGCCTATGTAATTGGCTTCTTTCATGTCAGAGTAGGCTCTCCACATGTCCTTAGCCCCTGGAAGGGAAAGAAAATGATGAGATGAAGGTGATCACATCTTGGCAAAATACAGAAATAAGAAATTTCCTCCCATTGATTCCAAGATTTCATCCTTTGACAGAGTCCTTGGAGATGGTGTTGGCTTGAGGTGAATATTACTTCTCTTTCCCTCCCTGGTTAATGCGATGAGAATCACACCAGGTGCAAATTTTATTCTGCCTGATTGCATTCCCAGTTCTGTTGCTATGTTGTGTTTGGCCGTGTGTGATGCGTGTGATGACGAGGTGGGATGGTCCCTGAGGGAGGTTTGGTTGTACAATGAGCCTCTACCTGGAAAGATGCAGGAGACCCTATGACCTGAGTGTGAGGACAAAGGCTACTCTGAGGGAGGCTGCGCACCCACGGTGCTCCCAACCCAGTCATGGGAGAAACTCTTCCCCGTGGGCAGCATAAGGACAGCTCAGTCCTGAGTATGTCTGAGTGTCTGTGCACATCTGCGCCTGGACGGCTGTCAGAATCCAATGGGCAGGTGATAAAGGTGAGTCCCTAAGAGAGCTGTGAAGAACCTGGGTGATCAGGTGCAACACAGGGCAACGACCCACCAGCTCTAAGGGACAGCGTCGTCCCCGGTAAAGTGGAGGAGTGTTGTCTCCCTCAGAGTGTTTATGCAGAGAGACTGAGGAGATACAGGTATAACTTCTGGAACATTATAGTGGTCAATGTACCATCACCTGTCTGCTCCTTGGGAACAGTGAGACAAAAAAGTCAAGAGGCTCACCTAAGGTGAAGATCAGGAAGTCATGGACGGAAGGAATCTGATCATGCAGGAATAAAATGGCAACCTTTTAAAACTTAGCTGATTAAGAAAAAGAGAAAAATCTAACGTAGAGTTGTGATCTCAGTTTATGAGATATCTCCGTGAGATATCTTACTTTCGTTTGATGTCTTTATTATTTCTGGTGCTCAGATGATAGTGTTGTTGAGAGCTATGACTTTCTTACTATACTTATACCGTCTGAGTTACTAATTTAAATAGATCCTAGGAGTTCAGACTTGCACAATAAGTACTTCTAAAATGCCTGACACATTTTGTCACTTGAGGGGTCAAACCAGAGGGAGTGGTTCTCAGCATTTAGTGCACAAATGTCACCCGGGGGGCTTAGTAAAGGCCAGATTCCAACTCGGCCCCAGAGACTGAGATTCAGGGAGAGGAGTGTGTGGACCCAGGCGTCTGCATTTCACAAGCACCCAGACCCCAGGGGATTTCATGCAAGTGGTCCTAGGACAGCCCTTGAGAAACAGTGGCCTAAGAGATGAAAAGAGATTTTCAGCTGGGTCTGCAAGAATTTAGATGGGATTAACAGCAGACTCTTAAAGCAATTATTCAGAGAGTATCACAGAAAAAACTCACAAATTGATCTTGTGAAATAAAGAAGTTTTTGCTACTTTCCTATGGCTAGTGAGGTAAATATCTCTTGCTCCCGGTTTCCTGGTCATTCTCAGCCCCACTGGAACCATCGTCAGGAATTCATTGTGCCGTTTGCTGGGGGGAGAGCAGCTCTGTAGAGTTGCTTCCAAAGGCTCCACATCCCTGCTGTTGCCCATTTGCTCAGGTGAGAACAGGGTGTGTTCACAGCTCCCTCCCTCTCCCAGGTGCACTCTGGTCTGCGAGGCTGTGTGGTGCCTGGTTAATAGCCAGGTCTGGGGAGCTCCACGACCTGGGCTAACCCCCGCTCTGCTTTGACACTTAATCTGCTAAGTATTTAATCAGTTTGTGCCTCAGTTTCCCTGTTAAGGGATAATGGTACCTACATCACAGGATGAAATGATTAAAACCTGAGGATGAAAAGGAGTTCATTTGTCCATGTAAAGCTCTTAGAACAGTGCCTAGGACGTATCAAAAGCTCACTTACTCTGGTTGTAATTACTAAGTGGATGGGGGTGCCAACACACCCCACGCACTGATGCACCCACTTCATGGCTCCTGAGTCACAGACATGAGCTGTCCCTGACTCCCCACTAGGCGGCAGTAGGGCCCCACTCGTATTTAGGGGACATGCTCCCTGAACTCTACGTCTCCTCCTCACTCCTGCTGAAAGTTGGGGCCCAAACCTTATGACCTCCGTCCTAGGGATCCCCGCCAAAGAGTGCAAAGCTGCCCACAAACGCCCTGAGGAACTGCGATCATGAAAACCGTGCTCCTTGTCTGCCCACCTGTGGCCTTTGTCCTCTGGGGATGTGGCCTCTGCTCAACGAATCCTGGGGGCAGCCGGTTGCAGCCTCCCCACCACCCATCCCTTGGTCCTTACCTTGACCAGCTTCCTTGAGGAATGTGAACCATTCCCGGCTGCTGACGCCCAGGACCAGGGAACAAAAAATGATGCCGATGGAAAGCTTCATTTTGCTGTAGAGAGTCAAGCAAATGCAACAAAAGTGGACAGGCTTTTTCCTTTTTTGGTAAAATTGATCCACCTTTGTGTTCTAAAAATAAATCCCACTCAATATTATACATGCATATGTATATGTATATGTATATCTATCTATACGGATAGACAGATAGATTGTATTTCAGAGGGTCCAGTGCTCCATTTCCGTTTGTCTCATTGGAACCCCAGCGATATACTGGATGAGAGATTGCAATGAGTTCTAAGAATAAACCACTGTCCATTTCAATCATCCCCTATCATCTCTGAAGCCCACTGTACAGAAACTTCCCAGAGAGGCATGTGGGGATTTTGTGACCACACACCTCTCTGTAATACGAGATGAGTTAAACCATCTACAACTATCTGTAGCAGCCTGCTCTATCCATCACTGACTTCACACAGAAGAAGCTTACAACAAAATCTCTACCCCAAAAGTATTCACATTGCTGAATTCTAGTTGTCAGAATAGCAGACTCAGGAAGGAGGCAGAGAGCTGGGATGCAGCACAAGGAAGCTGGTGGGAAAGAGAATCTCCAAAGGGGAAAGCTGTAGGAAAGTTCTAGCCCCTCACCTGTGGCTGTCCCTTTCTGCCGGACTCCTGATGAGCTGGGCTGCCTGTGCTGCCTGCCCGGGTCATGTGGCTGGTGCTATATATACTGACACTTCGCTAGGGGAATGAATGGGAACACAGGTGTGAAGCAAAAAGAAGAAATTTGGGAAATTCCTCTTGGGCACAACACAGCAGCCAGAACATCAGGGTTATTCTTCACGCACATCTAATTTCCCAGATTGTGCAATCTGGCAGCTTTCAGGAGCATAACAAGTTGTATTTTGTGTCCATTTCCAGTCTCACTCCTGGTGGGGAAAGTTTTTATTCCCTCCCCAGAACAATGTGCTGACATTTGCTGTGAAGGGAAACCAATATTAGAAAAAGAGATTTGATTAGAAAATATAGCAAAACAGGTCAAATGGACCAGCAGAACTGGCTCCATTGAAGGAATAGCTCAGGATGAAACTGGAACCCCAGGGCACAGGAGTAGGAAAGGAGAGAGAGAGAGACCAGCCAGGGAAACAAAATTCAGAACACCCACATGAGGTGGTCTCAACTGGAAAAAGAGAGTCCTCCAGACTCAGGTGTATTCAGGATCAGTCGCTGTTGAAGGTCATAATGGCAAGTTGTATTTGGAGGATGCTGTAACCCAGAAACATTGAACTGCAGTGTAGACATTTGCTACAATGTTGTGTAGAAATGACACACTATTAAAATGAGCAGGAAATGGCCCAATGGCTGCCAAATTATCAGAATAGAAGATTCAGGAAGGATGCAGAGAAAGCTGGGAGGCTGCACAAGAATGCTGGCAGGATGTGATGATAGAGAACAGCTGTCTCAACCAGAAAAGCAGGACTGGGCTTTATTATTTGAGTTTAGTAAGATAATCTTGGGGAGAAATTGCATGCAGGTGCTATCAGGCAGATAGCGTCCATGGTCCACCGCCTGCCCCGTTCCTGTCTCTTCATCCAAAAGGGAAATCTTAAAAGTGGCTGGATTTCCCTAGAGAAGAAAGATGACGTGTGTGTAACGTGGCAGAGATGATGGAGGATCCAAGGAACAGATCTGGTCCTTCTCACAGTGGGACCCTGGCTGAAGCCTAAGGACAGTGTTGGGCAAGTAAGGCCCAGCCCAGGGAGTACCAGCTCAGGATTTGTGCCTGGAGTGTTTCCAGGAGACGAGGAACATGAGCAGTGCATTGGAGATACTAGGGAGGGAATCTCCAAGACTGAGGCAGGCACATCATGGAGACTTGCAGCCGAGATGCTGGAAGATGGAAACAATGGCCGAGAAGGAAGGGAGACTGGTGCCTCATGAGAGAATGGTGAGGATGAAGGGCTCATAATTTGTTACAAGACTAGAGGAACTACGAGTAGGACCTTAGAAAGAGGAGCGATGACCTGGGGTGAAGCAAGTCAAGCAAGTATTTCACTGGTGTTTGGGACTCATTGTCTTAGATTAGAGCCTGCCAAAATTAGGAGTGATGGCTCTTTCTGGGTCTGGGTCATATTTTCACTCTTATAGATATAATGAGATGAAAGTTGCAGGGCAGATAACTGTCAACGATTTCCCTGTGCCTTTTGTTCTTATCCAAGACAATGCTAAGCAACATCAGATATTCCACAGACAACTTCCTTCCTCTGGAAAGGTGGATTCCCTGTGGTCCGGGGAGTCCAGGTCCCTGAGCTGCCTTGGCTCACTTAGTCCTAGATGTAGGCTTGATGGGGAAGGGGGACTTGTTAACCCTCACAGCCACTGGTCCCAGGCATGCCAGGGGGCTACTCCATTGAGGAGGGCATGTGATTGTCCAGATCCCCTTTTTCCTACCTTCCTCGGGACAGAAGTCGTGGGCCAGTGATCACATCCGTTTACACTTCTTTTACTCGCTTTGGAGCCATTCAGTGCTGGAAATCAATGCCCCACTTTCTCACGTCATTCCGATTGTTCTCTTCTTTGATAGAATCATTGGAGAGAAATCAAGTACAGTTTCTAGATGCCAAGAGGAACTCCTCGCAGGGACTCTGGCCAGCATTGCAAGTTCTCTTCCTTTCTTCCTCAATGTCTTCTGTCTTCTGGGAAGGGACACCCAGTTCCTTGCAGGGCCATGCTTGGAGCAGTATACCATAGTGGCCATCTGCATTTTTCACTTGCTTCTCCTGCCAAAGGAAGCTACCCTGTCATGGGGAGATCAGGATCTCCAGGCCTTAAAGAGATTTCCCAACAGTCTCCCATGAGTCACTGTGTCCTGGGTTAGGGAGACAGTCTCTGTTATCAACTATTGTCCCATCTTAATTGTTAATAGTGACGCCCCCTTGCACTCTGGAAAGTGACCTGGTTTTCATGATAAATCTGATGGGCCCCTGCTCCACTAGCTGTGTGTGAGCAGGCTGTTGAGAGGTCTGAGACACCTCCCTCTCTTCTGTTACGACTGATGCCAGTGGAAGAGAAGAGCACCAAGGCCCTTAGGGTCAGAAACCAAAGTGAAAGAAAAGCCCCACACGATAGCCTTTCCAAGGATGGCATCTTAGGACTAAGTCCTAGATCCAGAGGGACAGCAGGAAGAAGGATGTGCAGGCCCCTGGAGATAAAATGAGGAAATAAGGACACGGGCCTCACAGGGTTGTCTCAGGATGACGTGATTGATGCTGAGAGGGCCTTGGATCAGTTCTGGGCGTGCGTAAAGCACCTAACACGTTTTAGCTCTTGTGGCTCAACCATGAAAATTCATAATAATTTGTGCTTTGCTGAAGACAAAAAGATTAATTACTGTGTTATTACCAAGGCCGCACATTATTAACACGTTATTAACTAAGATTATCAATCACAATACAGTTTTAAAGATCTAGGTTTCATCGTACAGGACGTAGCAACATTCTCTGAAGTCTGGGTGTCTTTTGAGTTCCCTTTCTGAGAAATACCTGTTGCCAGGACAGCGTTTTGATGGAGGAACCATCTGCATCTCGCGCAGCTGCAGGAGAAGAGGGAACGTTCTCTCCTCGCCTCGGCAGGACTTCTGTCTCCAGCAGTCAGGAGCTCCTGCTGGGGCCTAAGGCTAAGCCTGGAACCCACTAGACAGCCCTGAGAGAGAGAGAGAGATGGGCCTGAGACGCTCAGAACTTACCCCGAGGAAAGAAAGGGCCAGAGGAGGATCGTGGACAGACGGAATGTTGGGTGCATAATCTTTTGTATCTAAAGTCCCCCATTTTGTTAAACAACACTTTATCTGTTTCTCTTCAGATTTTATTTTCTAATATGAACCTCCTGTTTAGTGCCCAGGTGAGAACATTTGTGGGCATCCTTTAAGACTACAATTTATGTGCTATTTAAAATATTACTGATTTTAAACAGTTATTATATCCAATATCATTAAAATAACTAGAAAATTTCAATGCTCATGGATAGGAAGAATTAATATTGTTAAAATGTGCATACTACTGAAAGCAATCTACAGATTCAATGCAATCCCTATCAAAATTCCAAGGCATTTTTTTAAGTTAATTTTTATTGAGTTTATGATAGGTTACAATCTTGTGAAATTTCAGTTGTACATTATTGTTTGTCAGTCATGTTGTAGGTGCCCCCCTTCGCCCTTTGTGCCCACCCCCGAACCCCCCTTTCCCCTGGTAGCCACTAATCTGTTCTCTTTGTCTACATGCTTAAATTCCTCATATGAGTGGAGTCATACAGAGATTGTCCTTCTCTATCTGGCTTATTTCACTTAACATCATTCTCTCAAGGTCCATCCGTGTTGTTGTGAATGGGACTATTCTATTCTTTTTTATGGCTGAGTAGTATTCCATTGTGCATATATACCACATCTTCTTTACCCAAGTTGGACACTTAGGTTGCTTCCATGTCTTGGCTATTGTAAATGATGCTGCAATGAACATAGGGGTGCATGGGACTTTTGGAATTGCTGACTTCAAGCTCTTTAGATAGATACCCAGTAGTGGGATGGCTGGGTCATATGGTATTTCTATTTTAATTTTTGAGAAATATCCATACTGTTTCCCACAGTGGCAGCACCAGTTTGCATTCCCACCAGCAGTGTATGAGGGATCCTTTTTCTCCACAACCTCTCCAACATTTGTTACTTTTTGTTTTGGTTATTTTTGCCATTCCAACAGGTGTAAGGTGATATCTTAGTGTAGATTTGATTTGCATTTCCCTGATCATCAGCGATGATGAGCGTCTTTTCATGTGCCTATTGGCCATCCATATATCTTCTTTGGAGAAATATCTGTTCATGTCACCTGCCCATTTTTTGATGGGGTTGTTTGATTTTTTGTTGTTGAGTTGTATGAGTTCTTTATATATTATGGATATTAAGCCTTTGTTGGATGTATGCCTTGCAAATATTTTTTCCAATTGGTGGGTTGTTTTTGTGTTTCAATCCTGTTTTCCCTTGCCTTGAAGAAGCTCTTTAGTCTGATGAAGTCTCGTTTGTTTAGTCTTTCTATTGTTTCCCTTGTCTGAGAAGACATGGTGTCCAAAAAGATCCTTTTAATACTAATGTCAAAGAGCGTACTGCCTATATTTTCTTCTAGAAGCCTTATGGTTTCAGGTCTTACCTTTAGGTCTTTGATCCATTTTGAGTTTATTTTTGTGAATGGTGAAAAAGAATGGTCAATTTTCATTCTTTTACATGTGGCTGTCCAGTTTTCCCAGCACCATTTGTTGAAAAGACTTTCTTTCCTCCTTTGTAGGCCCTCAGCTCCTTTGTCAAAGATTAGCTGTCCATAGATGTGTGGTTTTATTTCTGGGCTTTCAATTCTGTTCCATTGATCTGTGCACCTGTTTTTGTACCAGTACCATGCCATTTTGATTACTGTAGCTTTGTAGTACGTTTCGAAGTCAGGGATTGTGATGCCTCCAGCTTTGTTCTTTTTTTTTCAGGATTGCTTTAGCAATTGTGGGTCTTTTGTTGCCCCATATGAATTGTAGGATTCTTTGTTCTATTTCTGTAAAGAATATCATTGGGATTCTGATTGGGATTGCATAGAATCTGTAGATTGCTTTAGGTAGTATGGACATTTTAACTATGTTTATTCTTCCAATCCATGTACATGGAATGTCTTTCCATCTCTTTATGTCGTCATCCA